ATCCAACTGTGGCTCAGGTCATGAACTCCAGGTTCGTGAGTTCGGGCTCTGTGCTGACAGCTCGGAGCCTGGAGCCTGCTTCAGATTCTGTGTCTCCCTCTCTCTCTGTCTTTCCCCTGCTAATGCTCTGTCTCTCTTTCTCTCAAAAATAAATAAACATAAAAATCTTTTTAAAAGATGGACAAGTAAGCTTTAAAAAGATTACCACAGAAGTTTCTAAAGTACTTTTCACTGCAGAATCAAAATCTAAGTTAGAAGAAGACTCTCTATTTCCATGGACTGAGCCTGACACCTGGTAGAGCGGGCACGCTGACCTCTGTCAGTATTGCACTGGGATCTGATGCCCTCCACTTTGCCAGGCCTTCTGCCGTCTTAGATTCCTGCTGTGGGTAAGCTGAAACCCAGTGCAGTTAAGGGAGCGGGGGGACGATTTTTTGCTAATCTGCTGATATTTTCCTAATGTCTTCTAAGGAACAGCAGGTTATCATGATTCCCATTTTGGTGGTTTGCTGGTCAGTGACCATTTTGTTAGCAAAACACCAGCAGTTCATGTCGTCTTGGACTGGGGACCACACTTATAAAAGAAATATATACATTATAGAAGAAGTCAGTATATGTGTACATAATTTCTGTCAGCACCAAGAACTGTGATGCTAGTATTTACTGAGCGTTGGTTTCCTAACAGACACTGTGCTAAGTGCTTTACTTGGCTGGCCTCGCTAATCCCACACCACACTCGGTAGAGCTGGGAGTTAATGCTTTATCCTCACTTAGCAGGTGCGGGACTGTGGCTCACAGAGTGGAGGAAACATTGTTCACTAGCCACCGAAGTAAGAAAGGATGCTGTTGGTGTTCATTCTAAATGGGCGTGACTCCAGAGTTTGGGCGCTGAATCACTGCTGTTATGTTAATAGGTTCCAATAGGGAATTTGCAGATTAGCAATTCCCTGTAAATCACTTGGCTACAGAAACTTCTATCATCTTTTACATTCTAACAATGTCGTGGGGAACAGTGGTTCTCAAACATACTTGCACTTTCCAATTATCTGGAAGTTAAAAAAAAATAAGGTGGGTCCCAGTGTCAGATATTGAGTTAAATGGTATGGAGTGTGGCCTAGACATTGAGATTTTTAAAAATCTCCCAAGTGGTTCTAATGTGCAGCCAACTTTAAGAACTCCTGCTTTAGGGGGTGCCTGGTGGCTCAGTCCAACTTCAGCTCGGGTTGTGATCTCAGTTCGTGGGCTGACAGCTCAGAGCCTGGATCCTGCTTCAGACTGTGTCTCCTCTCTCAGTCCCTCCTCCACTCATTCTCTGTCTCTGTCTCTCTCTCTTGCACAAAAATAAATATTAGAAAAAATAAACATTAGAAAATTAAAAAATATTAAAAAAAGAAGTGCTTTGGAGCAATGCAGAGTTTTAAATTCTGAATTCCCATCCTTCTGTTAGTAAAAAAATTAAATAGCATTTTTGTTAAAAAATACAAAATATTTGCTTTAGAAATCATAGACAAAAAAATATTTTATGATTTATGATTATCTGTAATCCCCTCACTGAAAGATGACCAATACAGTTATGTGTGGGTTTTTTCCCCTGTGCATGTTTATGTGTTTAAAGTCTTAACTATAATGTTACTTTTCTATAGAATTTTATATATTTAATGTCAACTTGTTTCCTCTTTTATGTATTTATAGGCTTTACCAGACTAAGAACCTTTTGATTCTTATATACACATAATAGTGTTGATGGATTAATACTTGTAGGCCAATAACTCTCCGAATGGAGCAATATCTCTATTAATGGAGAGTGTGTATATTATTTGAGGTAGCATTTAGGAAACTAACGGACTTAGATGGCTCTCCTTTGTGTTCATTTCATACAGCACGTTTTTAGACAAGCAAACCTTGGTTCTGGTTCACCCCTTGTCTCTTTTCTGGATTGTTAAGGCCAAACCCATATGGTTTATGCCCCTGGGTTCTGGACTCTGGGCTCTAGTCCTCTAGACTTCCTGGCCTATGCCCCCCCATCAGGCTCAGAGAGCCCTCCCTGGGAGTAGACTCTTCCCCATACCCATGTCCCCACACTATTCACCCGTGATAATAAAAACGCTGAGTTCAATATACTTTCAGAGTGAGAACCAAATAATTTTCAGAGTTTGCTGCTTCCCACATATTTTCCTAGTAAAGATTTGGATGAGAAACCACCGTGGTGTAATGGTGCTCAGTTAGGATACAACCAAAGCCTGTCAGCTAACCATTGCGACTGTCCCATTCTTTCCTACAAAGGTGAAGGAGGAGGAAGAATTCAGAGAATAGGTGGGGAGGTAACTCAGAGCTTTAGCGGGCTGGTGAGGAATTACCCCAGAGGAGAAAGGGTTGATCTCAGAGACTACAGGTTTGCTTGGTAAGCCAGCCTTGTCTTCAGTTAGGCCCAGACTACTTCAGGCTGCTGGAGGAAGCATTTTTTATACTGCAGCTGCAAAACCAGACATCTCTGCATCATGATCTACAAAGGATTTTCTTTTCATACATACCTCTTATAATGTAACTATAATCAGTGGATTTCTTAATCACCCTTGGTCACAAGACCTATAAATCAAAATTGCTTATAGGTTCTTTCTGGCTCCTAAAAACTTAACTTTTATTTTAAGAATGTGTTGTGATTTTTTTTAATGTTTCTTTATTTTTGAGAGAGAGCGAACATGCACACCTGAGCAGGGAAGGGGCAGAGAAAGAGAGAGACAGAGGATCCAAAGCGGGCTCTGTGCGGACAGCAGACAGCCTGATATAGGGCTCGAACTCACAGAGTGCGAGATCATCTCCTGAGCCAAAGTCAGATGCTTAACTGCCTGTGCCACTCAGGTGCCCCAAGAATGTGTTATGATCTTTACTTGCTTATTATTGACCACTTTTAAACAAAGTTTTCTTAAAAGGGGGAAATTGCAAAAGTCTGCATTTTACTCATTGACATATAAATGTGATTTACATAGAAGTGTGCTGAAATTTTTAAAATTGAGCCATTTATGGAGTTCCAAAGCTATAAGAAAAATTAGATGCTGTTTCCCTATTCTTTTTCTCCCCTTTTTGTTGAATTCACGATGACTTATGATGAATATAAAGGCATTAAATATAGTTAGAACCACCAAATATCCTGCTTTCCTTCCAATTCAGCAGCAACAACAACAATAAAACAAAAAACTCCCCAAAAAACAAAATCAAAGAATAAAATAACAAGCCTAGTTTATTTATCTGAATAATTTGTCTAACTACAAGATCATAATGAAAGAGGGAATCATTAGAGTTCATCGTATAGTGTAGTAAATAAATATATAAATAAATAAAAATAAATACTAGTGGTAAATAGGTAAATATCAGATTTATTCAGTCAGTCCAGTGTAAATGGGAGATTTCAGGAGTGCTGTGCCAGTCATCAGAGCCAGGAGAGTATTATAATATAATGGCATCTCTTCTGCACTGGATGAGCTGTCTGAGAAAAATATTTTGAAGCAATAAAGCATCCATTTAGCTCCTAAGTAATGAGGGAGGCAGTGCTCTTTCATTAACTATTTATTCAGGAAGAGAAGTGACCAACTGCTAAAAAGCTTTATCCAAAGAGAGTAGTGGAAAATAGAAGAAAATGCAGAAGTGGGGTTCTGTTCAGTTTCATATGCAATTAACAAATACCCAAAGCTGACCGGTTGATGCTTCTCCTCCATGTGACTTCTGGCTGACTGTATTTAAGTGTGAGTGCTTGTCAGATGTATGAAAGGGCCCCTTGGTTCAAGGAAGGACTGTGCAGTCTAAACTAAAGACCAGAGAAAGGAAGCAGTGAGCCGTGAGTAGCTAAGATTGGACTGGTTTCTATAGTTTTGAATAATGGACTTATTTCCTATGATGAACAGCGATTTGAGGCTTGCTGGTTTACTCCTTTTGGGAATTGTTTCTATTATTTTTAGATGATTATTGCTTTTTTGTGACTTCAGAAATCTGTGCTAGAATGAAGTATGTAGATTATCACTTTATCAAATGGCTTCTCACTTAAGACAATTTCTTATTTGCTATATAAATATGTAACTCGCTATTTGGAAATAGTTTCTAGGCGTGTGCGTAAATTTTGCTCTTCTTCCACAAGTAAATAAGTGGTCCCTTCTTTGCAGTGAATGCTTAGGACTTAGCAACTTCAAGACTACAAACAGAATATTGTATTCCCATAGATATAGGGGCTCACCTCAAGTCATTCCAGAATCTCACTTTGGAGCATTTTGATGCTATAACAACACCAAGTCTTCATTTCATTTTGCCGGAAGACTCTTAATATAATTAATTTGTGTTATTTAGTGACATGAAGAAAGATAACAGTCACAATTATTTTCTTCTCTAAAAGACAACCAAAGGGTTCTTATGTTAATTCTTCCCTCCCTGGCTGTCTCTAAAAAGAAGTATAGGGAAGTTCTATACAACGAAGAAAAATCCTTCTTTTAAATCATATTAAGATAGACAGTGGAAATGATATGTAAATCCAACATTATTTAATGACAGAATCTTCTTGATATTATCAAAAACCAATTATGAATCATTCAATATCACATTCCTTTGGTTTTCAATTTTTTTAATTTTCATACCAAAAACTATGTACAAATTTTAAGCTTACTATGAATTATTTTGAAGTATATTTAAAATCACTTTTCAAGATACATTCCATGAAATAAGAATACATTGTTTCTTTGGGTTCATAGCCTTTGGTAATGGACTAAAAAAGTCTAAGTAAGTGGCAATGAGACTAAAGACAAGAAATTCCTCCTTAGAAATAAGTTTTCTTTCCTAGACCCCACTGTATCATACTCAGAGAAATAAACTTATCTATGTTACAGACTCTTACTTTCTTCATCAGGGAAATAAAGACTCTGAGATTAGAAATATAATTTCCTTGTGCAAATGCTGAGTTTTACAGTAATCTGCCTTTTTGGTTATTAACAATCATTAGACTGAATTACCCCTTTCAGATAATCACTCCATTCAGAAGACTAATGCTGTGCGCTGAGAACAGGAAGGAGATGGAGGATTGGATGAGCTCACTGAAGTCTGTACAGACCAGAGAACCTTACGAGGTAAAGTAGCATCTCTTCCGGCACCTCATGTTCTCAGAGAATTAATGTTATCTGAAGAACTAAAGCTATGTTCTGCAAAGACACATGTGTGTAGATTCATTAAGTAACTTGCTTAAATCTGATATTGACTTTTTTTTTTTTTACTTAAAGGAAAGTGTTCTTGTTTTAAAAATTACGGATTTGAAATTTTAATCATAACTCCATGCATTCCAAATGTTAACTTTCTGTCGTCTCGTTCTCTTGTTTGGCAAATCTGTGCTAACATCTCGTTTCTAGGTGGCCCAGTTTAACGTGGAACATTTCTCAGGGATGCATAACTGGTACGCTTGCTCCCATGCCCGACCCACTTTCTGTAACGTGTGCAGAGAGAGTCTTTCTGGAGTCACCTCCCATGGCCTGTCCTGCGAAGGTACTGTAGCACCTGCGTTCTCCCTCAGCACTGACCGCTGTGGAAACACGCTGCCATAGGTACTTCTGTGTAGCCAACAGAGAAACATCACCACAGGAGAAGGTTTCCCTTGGGTAGAAGCAGTAGCCAGGAGCATCTCAGTGAGAGCATAGTGTTTAAGTTTTACTGTAGCTTCAGGTGGAGCTCAGCACACATAGGACTGACTCGGGAAATATTTTTGCTGAGGGAAAGATGATACAAATCATTGGGAAGGAAGTAGAAATCGAAATGTAGCATTTCATTCTTGAGGAACTAGCACCTACTCTTCACAAAACATCTCTAAACTTTGTATATCATGCTGGTTTTCTAGAATTCTTTTTCTGTTCTGCTTGATTGCAGAGAACAAAACTTTCAATGAGGACGGTATATACTTTGACAGAATTCCTGATTGTTATTTCTATTTCATTATCTTTTTTTCATGTTTTTTATTACTTTTGAGAGAGAGACAGAATGTAGCAGGGGAGGGCAGAGAGAGAGGAAGACACCGAATCCAAAGCAGGTTCCAGGCTCTGAGCTGTGAGCACAAAGCCTGACGCTGGGCTCAAACCCAGGAAACGTAACATCATGGCCTGAGCAGAAGTCCGACGCTCAACCAACTGAGCCACCCAGGCGCCCCTCTATTTCATTATTTTAATATTTTTTTTACTTCATTTTGTGTTTCATTTACATGGATGCCATCCTTTTCTAAAAATAAGGCCAATGTGTAGTTTTCATTATAGGATTTGTGGGGTTTTTTTAATTAAAAAGCAGTGACCAGTAGAAACAAATATACTAATAACTACCGAGAGAAAACTCATAACTTCTTTAGATTTATTTAATTCCATACCTCAGTAAGCATACTATACTTTCTGAACTGTATCTAATATTAATACTTGCTTTTTTCTCTAACACAAAAAATTCTTGGGGCGTCTGTTTCAGATTCTGTGTCTCCCTCTCTCTCTGACCCTCACCTGCTCACACTGTCTCTCTCTCTCTCTCTTTCTCTCTCTCTCTCAGAAATAAATAAAACATTAAAAAATTTTTTTAATTTCTTAATTTTGAATATAACTTTTTATTCTTAAATAATAAAACAGTAATAGGGTCACAGTTTTAGTTCATTTTAAGGCATAAAATCTGAGCTACATCATAGTTTCAGCTATTTAATATGCTACAGCACAGGGGTTAAGAATAGAGTTCCTCAGTTTTACCCTCCGGGTTCTACTTCGCTCCCCAGCATTACAAACAGTGACCCGGAGATATACTTCCACTGTTTTTGACTTTCGTTTCCTCATCTGTGAAACGGGGATAATAGTCATTTATATTATGCATAGACACTATGAAAATTAAATGGGAGAATATAAACAGGAAAACTACTTTTCTAGGCAAATAATTTGGGGAAGTTTCTAACTGCGCTCTGTGAAATCCTTCCAGTAAATGATTGCAGTTTGCATCATGACCTGAGGCATTGAAATGCATGAAAACAAACACCTGGAAGAGCTTTCACAGATTTTTTTTTGGCTGTTTTTTAGATTTAAAAACAATGATTGCAAATCAGGTGTAACTGCTCCTTGTGACTTTAGTAATCTGAAAGGGTTCCTGTGGCTCTGACTTTACTCTTTCCAGGCCTGTAATACACCGAGGTGTTCATTCAAAGGTCCCTTTACTGTTGCTGCCTAACCTCTTATTCCAAAAAAATGCTAAAAAAAAAAAAAAAAAAAAAGATATCAGATCTGAGATACTCCGTGGTACCCTTCTGATTTGAGAGTTATGCATTATTAAATGTATTTAATTGTGAATCGAATGTAAGCTGGGATGACTAACTCATTTTCTAAACATTTTAAAAGAAAAATGAACATTACATGGGCTGATGAGAATAAGAAACTTTAAAACTTTTTAAATATATTTGTTATGCTATTTTGTTAATAATGAAGTCTTCTTGATTTCTTTATGGTTCAATTATTGAATTTTTAAATATTTCTAGAAGAATGTATGTTAGTACTCATTTTCTCTGTTGATAAAAATTTTATTTCATTTATTTTTAATGTTTATTTACTTTTGAGAGAGCGACAGAGCGAGGGAGAGAGAAAGAGAGAGAGAGAGCATGAGCAGGGGAGGGGCAAGGAGAGAGGGAGACACAAAATCCGAAGTAGGCTCCAGGCTCTGAGCTGTCAGCACAAAGCCGGACGTGGAGTTTAAACCTAAGAACTGTGAGACCATGATCTCAGCTGAAGTCGGACAACTGAGCTACCCAGGCACGCCTCTGTTGATAAAACTTTTAAATCTGTGACTTCCTGCCCATTAGTATTGTTAGAATTGTACCAGAAGGTTTTTTTTTTATATAGGTTTTTATTTATTTCGAGAGAGAGAGAGACAGCGTGAGCAGGGGAGGGTCAGAGAGAGAGGGAGTCACAGACTGAAACAGGCTCCAGGCTCCGAGCTGGCAGTCAGCACAGAGCCCGACGCGGGGCCCGAACCCACGAACCGCGAGATCATGACCTAAGCGAAAGTCGGACGCTCAACCGACTAAGCCACCCAGGCGCCCCAAGAATTGTACCAGAAGGTTTTAAAATTGGCCATTAGTATTGTTAGAATTGTACCAGAAGGTTTTAAAAATCTTGAGGGTTTTATGAATGTGTAAAGAAGTTACATTTTTATTTTATGAGTGTGTGATTATTTAGCATAATTTTCATGTAATCCAAGTTATACTTGAACTTTAGAAACTACCTCCAAATCTGAATAAACTGCTAGCTGGATAAAACAGAAGGCACAGGACATAAGAAGCTTTAAAAGATATAACAGAGAGGCAAATACAAAAAAGAAAAAAATTCATTCAACTGTGACAGTGAATAACTTTGTATTGGAATGGAAATCAGTTTCCAGTGTGTGAAGTCATCACTAATTTACTTAATCTTTATGTCTTTGTTTTTTCACAGTAAAACAAGCTGTACTGATTTCTCTTCTGGGTTGGTGTTGAATAACTAGTAAAATTGTTACTTTAAAGCCTTGCATACATAAAATATATGAATGAAAAATAGAAGACTTTTCATAAATAATTCCCTAAGTCAATTGAGAATGTTAATTATAGTTTCAGAGCATAATTGTTCTTCACAGTTACTTAGACAGTAATTGAACAAAAAAAAGTTAAATGGTGAGTTTTTTCTTTTTTAATCAATAGCACCAAATATGTTAACATGGGTCCCTGTGAATTTTTATCTTAGCCATTGTTGAACACTTAGGAAGATTCAGTGTGGTAGGCTGAAAATTGCAATAAAAAATCATAATTTTGTTACATGTCAGTATATATTTTTAAGTTCTGTGGCTTTGAGATAATGGCTTTATAGGTCAGGGAAAAGTGGTTTATTTCACAATAACTTATTTGGAGAAATCTAATTGTTGCCTAACATAATTAAGGTGCTTATTAATCATTTCCATTCCTCAGTGACCATAATCACAGTCTGGCTTATTTTTTATTATCATATGCTATATTAAGCAACTTTACAATTTTCAAGACTCTTTGCATGAAGCACTTTATTATTACAAGTGTGATTTTTATTTTTAATGAGCTGTTTGATTTTTAGTGGCAAAATTTTCAAAAAGCCATGAAATTATTCCCTGTTGCTCTCTTTTACTTCCTTCTTTATAAAAAATAATTATTGACTATTAATATCAAATATTTATTTGTACTTAAAAAGCAAGCCTGGGGGTTATGTTGCAAATAAAACTAAATTAGGACCACATTTTTAAGAAATACCATTACAGATTAAAAGACCTAGAGATGCTAATTAACCTCAATTTCAAAATAGGACAGGAGGGGCACCTGGGTGGCTCAGTTGGTTAAGTGTCTAACTTTGGCTCAGGTCATGATCTCAAGGTCGTGGGTTCAAGCCCTGCGTCTGGCTCTGTGCTGACAGCTAGCTCAGAACCTGGAGCCTGTTTCAGGTTCTGTGTCTCCCTCTCTCTCTGACCCTCCCCTATTCACCCTGTCTCTCTTTCTCAGAAATATATAAAATGTTAAAAAAGATTTTTTTAAATAGGACATGAGAGTAAAAGGGAGCAGATCATACTAAAACTGTTTTTGAAACTAAGCTTATACTTCATATGGTGCTGTTTCTTTACACTACTATTTATCAGCAGTGAGATTCCATTAAAAAATTAATTTATTATTTGTAAGTCTGCTCTCGAGTCAGAGTCATTTAGAGCAAAAACTGTACGATTTCCAGGAAAGCATTTGTCAGTGTGCACAAAAGAGCAGATAAATGAAACTAACGTAGACTAATATTTCTCAAGGAATAACCAATTCAGCCTAGGTGCCTTTTACATATTGACTATCCATGACATCGGAAGCATTTTGAACATTTGGCTATAGACACCTCAGTTATTTGGCCTGGCCCTCTCATTTGCATGCTACATAAAATTAGGACTGTCTCAAACCAGTGACATACAACCCATCATTTCAAATTTGTTAACAGTTTACAGTTAGAAATTCAAAAACCACGTGAAAAGGAGCCACCTTGCATGTAGCATATAGCAGCAGTTACCTTAGTATTTCCACTAAAGTGATCTTGAACTTTTAATTATGTTCTTTAGAATAAGACTTAGTACAATAAAAAAATGTGTATCAGAAAAGTCAGAAACAGGTATAACATCAGTATCCACTAATGCTTGGATAATTTGTATCCTTAAAAGGATAAAATAAGTTTAGTAGTACTCAAGTAGAGATTTTCACAAGTAAGGGTTAATTTCTCAAATAATCTGTGGCTTACAGGTTTTTCATATATAAGCTGCGTCTTTCCTGGATGTTTCTTCTTATTTCTCTCCCTCTTGTGTGTTTTTTTTAATTGGATATTTGTATATATTGTAAAATGACTGTTGAAATGGAACATCTGTCACCATCTGTAGTTACAGAATTTTTTCCTTATGATGAGAACTTTTAAGATTTACTCTCATAGCAACTTTGAAATATTCAATATGTTATATTAACTATACTGTACACTACACCCCATGACTTAGTTATTTTAGTTTGTACTCTTGACTCCCTTCACCCATCTGGCCCAACTCCATGCCGCCACCTCTGGTAACCACCGATGTGTTCTCTGTTTCTATGAGTTTGGTTTTTTTGTGGGTTTGTTGTTGTTGTTTTTACAGTCCACATAAAAGTCAGATCATAAGTTTCTTTCTCTCTTGACTTCTTTTAACTTAGCATAATATCCTCTAGGTCCATCCATGTTGTCTCAAAAGGCAAGATTTTATTTTTTATATGGTTGAATAATAATCCATTCTGTAAGTACAGATATAGACGTCACATTTTCTGTATCCATTTATCTATTGATGGACCCTTAGGTTGTTTCTGTATCTTGCCTTTTATGAATAATGCTGTAATGAACATGAGGGTGCAGAGGTCTTTTCAAGTTATTGATTTCATTTTCTTCAAATAAATACCCAGCAGTGGGATTGCTGGATCAAATGATAGTTCTATTTTTAATTTCTTGATGAACCTCCATACTGTTTTCCATAGTGGTTATACCAATTTACATCCCCACCAACAGTCCACAAGGGTTCCCTTTTGTTCAGATTCTTTGCCAACACTTGTCATTTCTTGTCTTTTTGGTAATAGCCATCCTAACAGGTGTGAGGTGCTCTCTCATTGTGGTTTTGTATTTGCATTTCCCTGATGACTAGTGATATTGAGTATCATCTTTTCATTTCTCTGTTGGCTATTGGCATGTCTTATTTACAAAAATGTCTATTCAGATCCACTTCCCATTTTTTAAGTGGATTGCCTGGTTTTTGCTATTGACATGTATGAGTTCTTTGTATATTAATGTACATTAATGTTAACCCCTTAGTAGATATATGATTTGCAGATATTTTTGTCCCATTCAGTATGTTGCCTTTTCATATTGTGGGTGGCTTCCTTTGCTATGAAGAAACTTTTTAGTTTGATGTAGTCCTGCTTGTTTATTTTTGCTTTGTTGCCTCTGCTTTTAGTGTTGGACCCAAAAAATCATTGCCAAGACTGCTGTCAAGGAGCTAACGTCCAGGAGTTTTCTCTAAGAGTTTTATGGTTTCAAGTTTTACATTCAAGTCTTTAATCCAACTTTTATGTACGGTCCAGTCCTGTTTTCATGAAAGTGGTCCAGTTTCATTCTTTTGCATATGGCTGTCCAGTTTTCCAGCAACATTTATTAAAGACACCATTCTTTCTTCGTTGTATGTTCTTGGTCTCTTTGTCATAAATTAATTGGGCATATTCGTGTGGATTTATTTCTGGGCTCTCTATTCTGTTCCATTGATCTATGTACCTGTTTTTATGCCCATACCATACTACTTTGATTAACATAGCTTTGTAATATACTTTCAAACCAGGGATTATGATGCCTTCCACTTTGTTCTTTCTCAAGATTGCTTTGGCTATTTGGAGTCTTTTGTGGTTCCATAAAAATTTTAGAATTATTTGTTTTAGCTCTTTGAAAAATGCCATTGGAATTTTGACAGGGATTGCATTGAATCTGTATGTTGCTTTGGGCACTTTGGGCATTTTTACATTATTAGTTCTTCCATCCATGAGCATGGAATATTTTTTCCATTTTATTTGTGTCTTCAATTTCTTTCATCACTGTCTTGTAGGTTTCAGTGTCTCTTAGGTCTCTTTTATAGGCTCCTTTTTGATGTTATTGCTGAGCAGAATTAGTGATGCATGTAGTGTATTTCTTCATGATTACTTTCTTCTACATTATGATGTAGTAATCCCAACAATAATACTTTTAAAAGGCAGTGCCATCTTTGTGACCCTTATCAACCTATTTCCCATGATGACTGGATATTTTCTTGACATACTTGCAATTTAAAACTCCTCTGAATTATCCTGTTCTTTATCTTACTGATATTTTCAAATCTTTCATTTTAAATATATGTACAGAAAAATACAAATATCAGAGGAGTAGAGCACATAGGATTTTTCACAAATGAAACACATTTATGTAATCAACATCCAGATTAAAAAATAGGATGTTACCAGCACCTTTGTATCACTAAATTTTGTTTAGTTCTGTGCTTGTATGCGTGTGTGATTGTTGTCTCCTTTCTCCTAAAGCACTAATTCTTTTGTATTCATTTCCTTTGTGTTTTATTTATGAGCAAGTGGAATCTCTCTAAGCAGCAATCTGTAGATTGATAAAATCTTTATAAATACATAGCCACATGTGTCATACATTTATGAGTACGTTCTGAAGAGGTATTTTCAGAATACCTTTACTATTGTTGAAGAGTAATTTAAACTATAAATTACTGTTTTTCTTCTACCCTCTCTTCTTTAATTTCATGCTGTGATTTCCCTTAATCATTCCAGAAGTATATATTCATTTAGAAATGGTTGACTTTTTTTTTTAGTGTGTAAATTCAAGGCTCACAAAAGATGTGCAGTGAGGGCAACAAATAATTGCAAATGGACGACTCTGGCCTCCATTGGGAAGGACATCATAGAGGACGAAGATGGAGTAAGCTCAATTCTGTCTCTGGTCTCCTCTGAGTGCCTCCCCTTTTTATTCTCTGCCCTGTGAAAAATGACAGAGTTAACTGGGAGTATTTACTAGCAGGACGAGATGGAAGGTTTGGTTAATTATGAGTTTCTATTTCCAGTTAGATTTTTCGTAGTTTCCTTCAGCTCTTAAATTTTGAGGGAAATGTGAATAGGGCTTAGAAGCAGTTGCTGGGCCGGGCTGATGTTGTAGACCCTGACCTAACAAGTAAGATATTCTTTAAGGCTTAGCTCAGGTGTTCATTCAGATGTTCATTCCTCAGATGTTGGGGCCTCCTTTCAACAGTGACCTCCCACCTTCAAACCTTGTCTCCATTGCACCGTGCATTCGAATCTCTGATAGCACTTTGTAATCACTTTATGATAATACCTTTACATTCAATGCTCTTCAGCTAGACTACAAATCCAGAAGGTCAGGGCTTTAGTCTTAATTACTTTTGTATCCCTACAGTGCTCTGGGCATAATAGATGTCAGTAAGTGTGGACTAAATGAATGGATGCCATGAGTGATACATAGATTGATTCCACAGAGTAAGAAATAATTGTAAATCTTCCCTGGGGTAAGAATGATGTCCTCCCGTCTTTAATTTGACTGCTCTTTATTCCTGCTGCACAGGTAGCTATGCCTCACCAGTGGCTCGAGGGTAACTTGCCCGTGAGTGCCAAATGTGCTGTCTGTGACAAAACATGCGGGAGTGTTCTGCGTCTACAAGATTGGAAATGCCTTTGGTGTAAGACAATGGTGAGAGTCCTTCTTAGTTAGTTCTTTTCATAATTTCTTTAATCTATGTGATTTAGGGGCAAAGAATGTATGGTATAACAGAGCCCGGCAGCATACATACCCATTGTTACATTCATCTTCTTCAAAGTATATTCCTTTCAGTCTGGTTACTTTTTAAATATCCTTTTTGCAGTACTGTTGCTAGATATTTCCCTTGTCAAGACCTCTTTCCCGCAGTTGTGTTGAATAAATATTTATTTATATATTATAAAAATTATTATATATAGATAGATATATATTTATATGTTATAAAGTTTTCTTGCATGTGTAAGGATGCAGTGAGAAGTACACACAGCATAACATGGAGCCAACAGCAAAGAATGGTCCTGTCCATGCCATACTGTGTGAGCACTGGACTTCATGAGGGCAGTCAGAGCAGGAATTCTCAGGGTGCAGCCAAGCCACTCAGAGGGTGGCGTGGAGGGTGAGAACAACCACTGTGGATGCTCATCTTAGCACTTGGCGATGCTGTCCAACTATGACAGTGATTGGCTTGCCTTGGGCTGATTTTTTCGGTCTTGTTTGGAGTCTTGGAAGTCACTCCCCACCCCACCCCCAAAATATGGAAAACTCATTTCTTTTAATAAATATGCTGTAGATCACCAAATGAAAAAGATAATGAGCATGATGTATTGATTTCATAATGAGTGAGATTCATTCCATAGGCCACTAAAGAAAATAAGTCCTGTAGCTTTTTCGTCAAACCTGGTAGGTAATCTTTCCTTTTAACGATTTTAAAGATAAAATGAATTTCCTTTTCATTTCATTTTTTTAAAAAAATTTTAGTAATTATTTATTTTTGAGAAAGAGAGAGTGTGAGCAGGGAAGGGGCAGTGAGAGAGGGAGACACAGAATCCGAAGCAGGCTCCCACAGACCCCAAGATCAAGACCTGAACCGAAGTCCAATGCTTAACTGACTGAGACACCCAGGCTCCCCTGTTTCCTTTTTATTTTTAAATCAAATGTGATTCTCTCTATCCTCATGCTTTTGTTATTCTTCACCGGTTGCCCCTTTTATTAGCCACAGGTGTTACTTCTAATTTCTCTTATCCCATGTAATATATAAACTATATTAGACATGTTTCTTTGCAGTTTTGGTGCAACCGTAACCCCAGAAGCCCTCTGTGGCATTCCTTATTTTATTTATTTATTTTTTAAAAATTATTTTTAAGCAATCTCTATACCCAGCATGAGGCTCAAACTCATAACCCTAAGATCATTACTTGCATGCTTTCCTAACTGAGCCAGCCAGGCATATTCCCTTTTTTAAAGAGTGTTCCCAACCCCTGGGTAGCTCCCTCAGTTAAGCAGCCAACTTCAGCTCAGGTCATGATCTTGTGGTTTGTGGGTTCAAGCCCCACATTAGGTTCTGTGCTGATAGCTCAGAATCTGGAGCCTGCTTTGGATTCTGCATCTCCTTCCTCTGCTCACTCTCTGTCTCTCAAAAATGAATAAATGTTAAAGAAATTTTTTAAAAAATAATATAAAAGAGTGCTTTCCAAAGGTCTGTAAGATAATGTTAGAAATAAATAAATGAAGCACTCTCATAAATAAGATTTTAAAACTTCATCCCACCTAGGATTTCTTTTTCAGGGTGCAACCGCTGATGTGTGCTTCTAATGCTATTTTCATTAGTCTGTACAGCTGTTTGTCTACTTCTAGAACTTCAGCTGTTTCTAACTTTTTGGAAAGAAAGCAGATTATGTGTGTGATAAATTATTTTAGAAAGGTTTTATGGAAGTTGTCTTTACCTATAATATTTAGGTCTCTGACTGTATTTGTTCAGTTATTTTTAAACTTCGCTAATTTTTAACAGTAGGAGGTGATTAGATATTTTGATCAAATTAGAAATTTTGAGCAAATTAGATATTGCTCACCCTACTCACCCCTACGTTTAAAATTTTTCACAAACAGGATAGAAGGATTATTTCAGGATATAGATGGAGGTATTCTAGAATGTCTTCTCCATTTTTTTTTCTGGCAACTTAGATATCACCTTACCTTGAAGTCATTCCAGCTCTGCATAGTCCACTAGACACACAGGTTTCTGGACCATCACTTTGTTACATCCTTCTTAGTCTTGTGCTTCCTATACACAATCTTCCTATATCCCTCTTTGTGTATTATTTTGCCTTTAAAATAATGGTTCCCACAGAATATCTAATTTGTAAAACAGTCACCTAGTTTAAAACAAAACACACACAGTCTTACACAACTCTACTGAGTCAACTGCTAATTTTTTCAGTTATCGTTCAGTCTTTGGACACAGTTTTACCATTTCTGTAAAAAGAATGAAGAGGGCTGCCTGAGTGGCTCAGGTGGCTGAGCGACTGATTCTTGGTTTCAACTCAGGTCATGACCCCAGGGTTGTGGTATCAAGCCCTGCATAGGGCTCCACATTGAGCATGGATCCTGCTTGGGACTCTCTTTCTCTCCCTCTGCCCCCTTTCCCCAACTAGCACTCTTTTTCAATGATCCAGGATCCAAAATTAGGTCATCAGCATAATAAGAATCACTATTAATTTCAGTTATTTTCTCAAAAGTTTTGATAAATATGTGTTTAATTAATATGCCAGTTTTCTAAAAGGACTAATGAAATAAAGCTGATTTAAGTAACTGCTTTATGAAGTGTCTGCTTTTACTACTTAAAACATTTCAAGGCTCTCTGGGTAAGTACCTAAAGTATTGTAAATTCCCTGGGTTCTACTTAATATGTTAGCCCTGCTCTTGTTCACAATAGTATCTTGACTGACCTTGAAACTTTTTGTTTTTACAGAGTTCACACGTTTCCTAAGTATCTATGATATTTACCACTTTCCAAGATAAGTGTATATTGATAGGACCTTTTCCTTTTCTTTATAGAGCCCGAAGTCTGCCTGAGAAAATAGGCACAGATATACTTATTCCTATAATAACATAAAAATGTTATTTTAAAAAAAGGTGTGAATGGAAAGTTTTAGGACCACTGCAGAAAGAGCAGACACATTACAAATTTTATGTATTTTCATGAAATTCTATAAGAATGTTACAAGGTAGAGCCCATCAATATTTTTTATGGACGATGATTTTGACAAGTACTAGTTAGCTTGCCTCCTTCCTCTTTCCCATCCTCTGCACTCTGTTCCCTTCTCTTCCTCTCTCCTTGCCTTCACCAGGCAGTTCCTTTTATAAATTTGTATTTATTTTTAGTATTTAAGTAACATCTACACCTAGTGTGGGGCTCGAACTTACAACCCCAAGATCATGAGGCACATGCTCTACTGACTGAGCCAGCCATGTGTCCCTCCCCGGCAATTCTTGATAAACACTACTTGCCTGAAGCCATCATAAAAGTAGGCTGCACAGACCAAATTGAATTTCCATCTCTAAAACAATTAGCCCATTCCTTAGAATTATGAATATTGTACCATGAAAGTAATTTATAAGTTACTGAACATTTTGTGGTATAGTTGATCTTCAGTTATCAGTTCCATAGATGTAATTTGTACCGTAAGAAAACATTGATGTGTTTTTATGATTCTTAAAGGTTTATTTGTTTGTTATTAGGTACACACCGCCTGTAAAGATTTATACCATCCTGTGTGTCCCCTTGGCCAATGTAAAGTGTCTGTCATACCTCCAATTGCACTGAACAGCACTGATTCTGATGGTAGGTATCGTTGTATAAACACGTATATTCTTGGTATTAAATGTTGATATGTACATTTACTTTCTTAGAATAAACTGATCTGTAATTGGTTATTTTGGTCAGTTTTTACATAATAATTCATTCAAATTGCTGAATAGTACCTTTAACTTTTTTAAAGTTTATTTATGTATTTTGAGAAAGAGAGAGTGAGAGAAAGAGAGCGAGCTTATGTAATTGGAGGAGGGGCAGAGGGAAAGAGAGAATCCCAAGCAGGTTACACACTGTCAGCATGGAGCCCGTCGCAGGGCTTGAACTATAAGATCATGACCTGAGCTGAAATCAAGAGTCGGACGCCCAATCAACTGAGCCACCCAGGTGCCCCAGTACATTTAACTTTCATAAGAACATTTTAAAATTAAAATGTAACATAGTTATTGATACACTGGTAAAATTACTATATATAAGACTTTTTACATTTCACATTTTACATTTCAGCAAATAAAATAAGATCATTATTCTGGGGCAAAATGCAATTCAAAAAGGTCAATTTTTTATGTGTTTTTTTCCCCTCCATAATTTTGAAATTACCTATCAGCATAGCCCTTCTTGAGATCTGTTTTCCTATAATTTCCTTGGAGGAATTTATATTCCTGTAAATTCCATCACTTTTTCCAGAATCTTACATCTTGGTTTTAAGTGCTGAAGAGCCTTGTCTTCCTTCTAAGCAAACCATATTACAAAAGGCTCTTACCATATACGGTTTAATTAATGTTTTGCATTGATAAAGTGCCTGTGGCTTTCAAACTTTTTCTATAAATTATGCCAATAGATACTATAAGTACAAGAATATTGGCTGCAGAAGATGTGATTTTTTTTTAATCTGTGCTGTTAACAGCCTTCCCCCAAGCCCTGATATATTAAGGTTCTATTATTTATGATAAATTTCAAAATATTTTCTAAAACCTCATGAAGAAGTTAAAATATCTTATAATGCTGAATATGAACATGAATTCTTTGACAAATGTAAGTTTATAGCCTATGGGTTTTTATAATTGAGTGTTGTTAAGGTAGGTGGTGTATCTCAAATATCTATGATTAATACTTTTACCATCTGTGCTAGGATTTTTCATTATAGAGCATATTATAAAAGAGAAGCTCTGTAGTCTTATTGTGTAAATATTAAACCTGTCTCCATTTTGGGGACTAAATTATAATTTATTGTTCAAGTAATAAACAAGGTTCTTTATGAATTTATGTTCTTTTCTCTGAAGTTTCATCAATGGTTTAATAGAGACAGCTGTACATATTGATCCTGTACTGTGTTTTTTTTTTCTACAGGTTTCTGTAGAGCGACATTTTCATTCTGTGTTAGTCCTCTGTTGGTTTTTGTCAATTCTAAGAGTGGAGATAATCAGGGAGTAAAGTTTCTTCGTCGATTTAAACAGTTGCTAAATCCGGCTCAGGTGTTTGATTTAATGAACGGAGGTCCTCATTTAGGGTAATTGATTATTGATAAATCTCATTAGAATGAAATGTAGCACCAAGCATGAAATGTTTGATTTTTCGGTTCACGAAGATTGTCGACTCATCCAGACATCTCTGTTGATCTTCCCACTCCTCCCTTTTTAAAGCTCTAATTATAAGTTTCAACTTCACCTTTTTGATATGTATACAACTTCCTTATGTGCTAAAAATCCAAAAATTTGTTTAGAAAATGTTTTGGACTATATGCATCAAATAATACTAACAGTTTAGCTTTGAGAAAGAACTTGTGAAACTATAGAAATATGCAATTTTAGAAAATGATGTGCATGGAAGGCTAGCATTGATTTTTGTGTAATACAAATAATCAATTATTTAACCAAAGCACAGATACATTGCAGGCCTCAAACATTTGAGACTCAATTCATATAAATGACAAAAAATACTGTTGTTGTTGAATGTCCTATAACTTACAATCTGAAAACAAAATTAAATGTATTTTCAGTGAGGGAAAATATACCTTCAGGTACCTTGAATACATTTTTTAGTGTGTGTATATGATTTTGTTGGAGAGGTGATATTGTGTCATCTGAACCAAAGACTTGCAACCTCTTCGTGATTTACTTCTGCCAACTCAACTTTTCTCTTAAAGCATAAACACCAAAGTAGGAATGGGATTTTAGGTACCCCGAAAAGGCCCTTACCCTTTCCTGTCTTTTCTGTCTCTTGCCTCAGTCTTTGTGCCTCTTTTCACTTTTGCTCTTCAGAATCTTTCTCCTTGTTTCCATTGCCTTCTTGCCAAGTCTCAGTCCCTTCTGAGCCCATGGATGCTCGTGTTTTTCATCTGTCCCCAACGCCTTCCCTGGGTCCTGGCATTTCCTTATCTGGCTTCTCCCCTCACTTGTGTCTTTTCTGTTGCTGGTTAGCTATGTCTTCCTTTCTAGAACATCTGTTTAATAATCCTTCACAGTTCCAATATCTTATATTCTTCACATTTACTTTTCTCTGCTAACCTTTATAATTCCAAGGAAGACCCTTTGTGAAACTTCTTGCGATTATCTCTATATTTTTTTAGATTTTTCACAACACTTGAGGTATATACAGAGGTACATTCAGGAGGTGGGATGTGTCAGAAGTTGAGATGAAGGAAAAGGAATTTAAAAGTAAAAGGACTGATCCAAGTCTAGGGGATGAGGCCGAGGAAAAGCGAGTGGGTGTCTGAAAAGTGATACATTGACAAGGTTTGGTGGGTCTCTTTAGAAACTGTCTTGAGCATAAATACTGTCAGTGCTCTAGATTCACAAACCCCTGGTTTGTAGTATGCTATTCTTAAGGAAATAACATATCCTTATAACGGGAAGAAAAAAAAGTCACTACTTTAACCATGTTGTGTCCCTTACCTTTCGTTTTCTTTCCTGAGTTCTGCTTCTCTGTTTTCTCATTTCCAACTCCCTTTTTCACCTACTGTTATCTCCATTTCTGCTTATAATCCCCTTTCCTCTTTACGATTAAGTTTTCTCGAGTTAAGAATCGTACTTGAATTTTTATAGTGTAATTAATATGTAAGTTAGAGTTCTTATATTTGATGAACATGAATACCAATAAATACAGAATGACAAAGAATTGGGGGAAGTGATTTTTATTTATATATATTAAAATAAAACCCTTTGTGCTTTCAGTTTAAGATTATTCCAGAAGTTTGACAACTTCCGAATTCTTGTTTGTGGAGGAGATGGAAGTGTAGGTTGGGTTTTGTCAGAAATTGATAAGCTCAACTTGAATAAACAGGCAAGTACTAAATCTTTCCTGACTCGTTAACTACATTAACACATACTCGTTAGCATGCACGTCTGCTCCCCTGCTGACTAGAGACGTGCAGAAGTGCCCGAGCTCCTGTTCTCCGCTTGTATGAGGTCTCCGTGTTGTCCTCTCTTTCAGTGTCAGCTGGGAGTACTGCCTTTGGGTACAGGAAATGACCTTGCCCGGGTTCTAGGCTGGGGAGGTTCATACGATGACGACACCCAACTTCCTCAGATACTAGAGAAGCTGGAGCGAGCCAGTACCAAAATGCTAGACAGGTAAAAGAGGATTTTCTTCTAAAACTAGACTGAATATGGCCCACTAAATCACTTTTCACAGTTTAAATTTTACGAACTGTGAGCCTCATGAGGACAGAGACTTCTTGGTTCTACCCAGTCTTTTCATGCCTGAGGTCTAGAACAGAGCTCAGCACAGACTAGACAATAAATGTGTTTTTTGAGTGAATGAATGAATTGTAACAAAAACTGAGAAAACTAGTCTAATGAACCCACTATTTTAAAAACAGAAGGTTATGCTGATACAACAATTACTTTTCATTGTTCTTCAGGTCAGGAAGCTTAGATAGTTCATTTTGTTTGGGGGCGTTTGGTGACTGTAATAGGTCATATAATAGGCTCCATCATTTGTGGCTTCGTTAAAGCTAAGGAAGACATATAAAGTTTAGATTTGTTAGAATCTAAATATTTGTTAGAATATTTGTTAGAAATCTCTTCTTAATTATGCATGTTAAGAGTGAATTGAACCAACAAAGAGCTAAATACTAAAAAAGATAATCCTTTCCCAGGGACCAAGGAAGTATTAGGAAGACCTCTTCATATCAAGGAGCTATCACTGTGTTTATGGTATCCTTGACCACATCTCAACCACTTTTCTCTCAGTGCCCCACGTATAAAAAAGAATGTGTGTGTACCCTGAGCATTCTAGAGGAGGTGTTTAGGATCAGGGATTGGAAGCAACAGGACTCAGTAAGCAGTAACCCACCCCCCCAGCATAAGTAGAAGACAAATGTCCAAATATCATTATGAACTTAAGCTTGAATCAAAACAACTTTGATAGGATTAGCCATCTGTGGAACTGTTCCCAAAAATAACAAAATCTCATCAGGGAGCCACCAATCTAAAATGTAATTACTCTAAAATGAACCGTAACCTAATTAATTGTAACCTTGCCTGTCCGAAGATAATGTTGTAATGGTGATCCTTTTGCTGACAGAATATTTCAAAAGAGAGCTGGGCAGTAGAGCATTTGTCCGCAGTTATGGTTATCCCAAACTATTCAGCAGAGGGGCACCCCGGTTGTTCAGGTGCCTAAAGTGGCTTCCGTCTCCAGTCTTTAAAAGACCTTGGAGGTGATTTCCTAGTTCTGTGCTTACCAAACTATAGAGAGTATTTTAAATGGCTTTTTGCTGCAAATTTAAACACCATTCTCACTGTACCCAAAGAATAGAAAAGTCAGAATTCATTGCAATAGTGAAGAAAGGGAAGTTTTACTATATATGTGCATTCATGTTTGGAAGTCACTAGTCAGAGAATTAGCAAGTTACAGAAATCATAAAGTATGAATTCAGCATTTTATGAGATTATCAAAAATTCCATCTCTTTCCCAGTATTTGGTTGTTTTAGATTCAGTAAACCATAATTCATGCATACGTGTGCATATGTATACATATGAGGTGAGAACAGTCTATTAATTTTAAAGGAATTTTAGACCAAAGATTTTTCTCCCTTCAGGTGGAGTATAATGACCTATGAACTCAAATTGCCACCAAAGGCTTCTCTACTCCCAGAACCTCCAGAAGCATCTGAAGAATTTTATGTAAGACTTTAACCCTTTGCCTATTTACCATTTGGAAATAGGAGTGAATATCTTGAACAAGGAAGAAAACTTTATAAGATATGCTGGCATGTTTGCATAGTTTTCTTTTTTTATGACTTTGGGTGTGGGTTCATTTACTACTTCTAGCCTTCTCTCTCAGAAGAAAGAATTCTTATGATCTAGATTAGAGTCCTTCTATGACCGCCCATACAGGAAGTGTGAACTTAGCCACATCACTCACCATTATGGGCCTCTGTTACATTATCTGTGGAACAAGTTTGCGATGCTGGTAAGAGTAAATGCAGTAACAAATGTGTGCAAAGCACCAGGCATGCAAGTTCCCCTTCCTCACCCCTGATATTTCCCCCTGAGCATTCCACCTGCTTGCATCCTTTTACCCACAGGGCTCCAGGGCGGGCCAGCTCGTGACAGCTTCCTGTCAGCTTTTACTCAACTTCTGCTTTGGCCATGATCACCTGTCTGTCAGGTGTTAGCTCAGCTCCCTTAAGCAATTTCAAGCACACCAATACTTGTGGCCAGAGTGTTATATAATTTCTCCCTTCCTACTTTGCCTGCCCTGTTGAGTGTTCATCATTATAGGTTTCCAGTTTAAGCCTGTTGATAAAGATAAAACAAAGGAAGAATGACAGCGCACTTTTTTTCCATCCCTGCTACAGACCATTAACTGCAGTTTTTAGATGTTCTTAAAGATTCAGCATTTTGATTAAACCTCAAAGCACTGGAGAATTAAAACAGATCCTACTTTTCAAAGGATTACTCAGTGACTGACAAGACCATTTGGTCTATAATAATTTATTTTCCCCTCTCGGAAAATTCATCTGTTTATTTTACAGTTGAAATCTTTATTTTGTCATTAAGAAAATCATGGTCTTGTCACAACTAAGGAAAGGAATGATAACTAGACAGATGGCGCTCTGCCTTAAACGAGCTAATTATATCTCCTTTTTCTGATATAAAAGTGGCAAAAACTGCCTCTAAAACTTGGAAAATACAAAAATATTTGAAAAATAATCTTACTTATAGTCCTAACACCCAAATATAATTACTATTAAAGATGAATATATTTACTATTTTATTTCCAGAAGCATTTTTATTTATAGTATTATTTTATCCAACTACAAATATAATACATGTTTTATAGGAACCGGTCTTTTTTCTTAATAGTATTTTTGTAAATGCTTTTAATTTTCTCCCCAAAGAGATGAAAGAGGGAATTCTTTTGCTCTACTTACTTAACAGATGTCTACTTCCTAGCATATAAAATAAAGGTAAACAGTTTACTTTTATTGAATATAGATAGTCGTTAAATACAAGATATGGTTGTAACTACATGAAGGAAATCTCTTTTTTAGTATAAAAAAGTTTTGAATGAAACCATTTATTTTGGTTTGCTATTAAGATATTTCATAACAAAGGAATAGCATGCCTTCAGTCTACAAGTTAAGTGAGTGTTCTCTGCATCACACTGACTCGTCACCGTGTGACTTTTTTGCCTTTAAAACTGTAATAACAGCAAGCTGAATCTTCCTTCTTAGGCTCAGCCTAATTTCCCAGCTTTTTTGTTTTATTCATTTTAAACTCCTTTATGCGTGGTAGTGAAATTACTATTTTTTTCAGTTTTCCTTAAAAGGACACAAATGTGGTTGAACTTCCTAATTATCTTATTAACTTAGCATTCCACTGGCACTGTAGCATTGCAGAGTTTAAAGAATTGTGACAGTTTTGTTGATGAATTCCTTATGGCTATTATTAAGTAATTCTCTTTGCTGTTGTAATTTTTAAACATTGCAAAAGTAGTGATTCCACGTTTTCCTCCAGTAACAATGATTCTATTAATACTCACTGTTAGAAAACACATTGTTTATATTTAGTGTGAAATCCCCATGCCGTCATGTCCTTTTCTCCCGTACCCCTTTGCGAATGAATATGTATCCCTCCAGTGACATCATGCTTAGTTCCTTCCTGCCCTCACCTCCGGTATCACTTGCTCCAAGTAGGCACCCCTTATCCCCCAAGTTCCAGTACTGTCTCCTCCTTGGGAGTTCCATAGACCCCTTCGTTATCACCTGCCATTATCTTGGTACTATTATACTGTCACGGTGAGGCAGTGTGTTATTCATTCACCATTATATTGTCATCTGGTGTCATGACTGACACAAAGCAGACAGTTAATAAAAAATTCTTATTTTTAAATTTTTGTCTAAATACCACACACTTTTGGAACTAGGGGCATCTTGGCATCAAAGCCCTCTGACGTTGTCTATTTCTCAGAAGCCAGATTCCTATTGCTTTCCAATTGGATTCAAAGCTTTTTGATGTAACAGTCATTTTTTAGTCTCTTTTGTATCATACCCCAATCACACCAATCTAGTGAGTCCATAGATGCTCATTTATTAATGCTAAGATCATCAAAAAGAGGATGTGAGCTGCTGTACCTCCATCTTGACAACAGGAAAATATGGCCTCAAATCTCCAATAATGAAATTCTACCCATTAGTTTATTTTTTAAATTTACTCATAGAAAGCTCCTCTCCCCTCAATTCTTTGTGTCCTAGATGCTTGGTAACAGCATGCTAAGCTGTTATAACTTTATTTTTTCATTGACTTAACAATACTAAATGTCTGTTGACACCTGGGAGTGGACATAAAAGGTGTGCCCTCCAGATCCAGTCCACTTAGAGTAATGGTGCCCAAGCTGTGTGCAGGGGGCCTCTGGGTACCACAGTGAGTTCAGAGGGCTACCATGAGATCTGTTCAAATTTCAAAGAGAATTTCATTGTAATACTCAACATCTATTGGACAGCACGTAGACTACTAGCTTGAGTACAGGACAGTTGAGACAGCATTGCACTATACTCCTTTTGATGATGTCATATTTTCGTGAGGCTTGGGTTTTCAGTAGTCACTGTGATAAAAAGCAAGCACCACACACAAAAGTCAGTGCTGAATAGGAAGTGAGGGTGTTCTTGTTCAATCTGATTCCAAGGCTTGAGAGGTACACAGTGCCTGCTGGCTCACAGCTAGTCATTTGAGAGTTAAATAAGATACTATTTTTTTCTTTTAATTTGTGTGTATTATTTTTCAAGTGGCTATTAAATTGTTAGGGCATAAATATGAATTTGTTTGCACTTAACTACTGTTAGCTACTCCTTCAGGCCTGGGGGTACTGTGACAAAATCATTCAGACATTAAGGATGCTACCAGGCCAGAAAGTGGGAGAATATCTTTGGAGGGACAGACAATAAATGATCAGCTATGTTTAGGTTATTTTCACAGAAGAGAGGGCTCTTAAGTCTGGCAAGTTCAGTGAAGTCTTTACAGGCAAGATTGTACCTAAACTGGGTTTTCAGCACAAAGAGAAGTAGGAATTAGCCAGTTGAAAAAGAGCATCATGTAGGACTTGATAGTAAGGACTTTGGTACCTTTGGGACACTATAAGTAATTCTGTTGAGTTCGAGCTCATGGCACAAGGGAAGAGCATCAAAAGACGTGGCAGTGGAGAGAATGAGGGTTCAGATCATGGAGAATCCTGGGAATTATGGAGAAGGTCTTGCATGTTAGCTGAAGAATTTTGACTCTATCTGGAAAGTAGGAAGATCCCCTCAAACATGTTAAGCAGAGATGTGTCATAATCAGATTTGTGTTTTAGAAAATATCATTGCATCATGAAGTGGAGAATGATTTGAAAGGGGTTAGAGAGATATAGGGATCCCAGCTACAAGGCTGTTATAATGATGCACTTGAGAATTGACAAAATTTATATTTGACAAATACAGTTAACCAGTTGCTTGGAGTGGGGGGGAGGGCGCAATAATAGTGAGATAAGCTGAAGACTTGGCTCCCTAGTTTGTGTTTTCTTCATTAGCCTAGGATCTTGGGCAAATCACACAACTTCACTGAGCCTGTAAAACAAGCAGTTCACGGGATAAATACATATAGAATACTTAATGACAGTGCCTGATACACAATAAAAATGTTAACTATTATTCTTACCTTACCTTTCTGACCTAACTGACTACATAATAGCTTAATAAGTGGCATCAATAATTTTATCTCTGGACAGAGAAGTTATTTCATTTTCCTCTGGAAGAGGTTGTATTCTTTGCCTTTGCTTATTTTTAACAGACGAAAACTTGGATTTGTACATGTAAATTCAAACGGAACTAATGAGAATTTAAAAGATTTTCTCCTACTTTCTTAGGCTCTATGACAACCTATCCTGCAAGGAAAAGAAATAAAACCAATCATTTTGAAAAGTATTTCCTTTCTTTGCTTTTTTAAAAGATGTGTTTTCATTTTTCTGATCTTGACTCTAAAGATGCAACTAGTGTTTAGACTAGAAGATGAATAAGTGGATTTGCAAGTAAACACAACATTGTGTGAGGCTTTGAGGTTCCTCCCCTCCCATCCTTTCTTTAATGTAAGGATTCTTTTCTATACGTGGTCTGCCTCTGAAGACAGAAACTGAAAAGAGTGACACACTGATTAGCCACTCGTGGAACTGGACGGAAATCGGGAATGAGATCTCTTTGGAAAGACGCTAGTCAAGAAGGCTTTAAGGAGGGGGGTTGGTAACTGAATCTGCTTTGAAGTCTGAATGAACTGGTGCCAATGGGTAGGAAGTAATAAAAGGATATCTGAGTAGGGCAGAAGAGCACAGGAGGCCAGCTGGAGCAGAGCAGGTGGTTTTCACCGGAAATTTTTGAGCTGTAGGATGTTGCACGTATTTGAGGCAAACATTTAATGGAAGGCTTTGAATAGAGGCTGTTTAAATATTGTGCACATGTTTGCCTATGAGGAAGATGTGTTCTTTCAACAGAACATTACATTTTGAGTCAAATGGGAAAGGATTATAGGACTCCCTGAGCATTTTGATTACTTCTTATTTGAGAGATAGATTTACATCTATTTACATGGTTGTAGACAGAGCACTCAGCATTCTAAAAAACTTTTTAGTGACTTGTGCATACAGAAAAGTGCACTGATCATAAATGTACAAGTTGGTAAGTTTCCACAAGCTAAAGAGACCCATGTAATCAGCATGCGGATCACAAGGCAGCATTACCAGCACCTGGTGGGCCCCGCCAGGAGCCCTTTTCCATTCACCACCCTCCCCTCCCATCCCAGGCACCACTCTTGTGGCTTCTAACAGCAAAGGTTATTTTTGTCCATTCTACACTTTATAAAATGAATCATTTTGTAAGCAGTCCTTTTCTGAATCCTTTTATTCAGCATTGTGTCTGAGAGATTCATCTGTGTTAGAGCACAGGTGTAAATCCCGCACTCTCGTTGCCCCACAATATTCCACTGCACAAATATACTACTGTATGTTATCCATTCCACCCTTGAGTGGATGCTGCTATGAATGTTTTCTATCACATGTCTTTTGGTGATAGTACGCCACATATCTTTGGGGGCATATATGTATGTAGAAATTGAATTGCCGGATCCTATGGTATATGCATATGTTTGGCTTTGATAGCACCCAGCAGTTTTCTAGAGTGTTCGTATCAACTCCTGCTCCCCCACCAGCAGCGAATGAGACTTCTGTGGCTCCACAACCCTGCCAATATTTGGCATTTTCCAGGCATTGTTGCTGCCATTGTTTCATTTTAGCTCTTCTGGCAGATATAGTGGAACCTCATTGTGGTTTGAGTTTGTGTTTGCCTGATGGCTGATGAGACCGATCTGTTTGTGGACCCCCTTTTTTTTTTTTTAAATCTTCCTCTTTAAATTTCTAGTCTTTTGCCCATTTTTCATTGGGTTGTCTGGCTTTTTTGCGCTGACTTGGAGTTCTTTATGTGTTCAGCCATTCGACATTTTATTTCTATTTTAATGGATTTTAGGGATTTTTCTAAGACTATAGATTTAGGAATTTCAGAAATTAAAAGCCTTTTACAGAAGGGAAGTATTCACCTATTTTGTATGATGACTTTTTATATATCTCATTATAGTCACTGCCCTGTGTCACGTGCCTTAAATTATCCCATTTTGGAAGAGGTAATAACTGAGTTGTATAAATGCCAGCAACAATAATACAGGGTAGGTTTTTTTACTTTTTCAGATGACAATTTATGAGGACTCAGTTGCAGCTCATCTTACAAAAATCCTTAATTCTGATGAACATGCCGTGGTCATATCGTCTGCGAAGTGAGTGATGGAGTTGAAGTCGTAAAACAGTTATATGGTGAAAATGAAAGGACAGCTTGTTCCTACCATTTATGTCACTTTTTTTGTGATTTTCCTCCCAAAATATTGGTGAAGTAGCTTATAGAGTTAGATATGCTAAACTTGCATTGGTTTCCTAAGAATCACTTTAGCGTCTTATTTGCAGTGAAGTTTATATTTAGAGGCTTTTTTTATGCTTAATTTGAAATATTTTTATCAGAATGGTGTGATACGTGTGTCGAGTTTAATTAATCTAAGTTCCTATTTAAAGAAGCATTTATGATTATAATATGGAAAACACATTTCACCATAATTTATTATTTCCATAAACACTACTCTTTAGGAACTGTTTACATAAGGAAAGGGAAAATACTGAAGAGATTTTTCAAAATGACATTTATCAGCATGTTAAAATTCCATAATTATATTTCAATTCAAAGTTATCAGATTTTAGTTAAGTTGATTCTGTACATGGAGCCAAAGCTACTTGATTTTATTATCTTAAATGTTGCCTGCCTGGAATTTAGCATTTAATTTTGAAATATCCTATACTGATGTCCTGAGAGCTGGAAAGTCAGCTAGACTAAGGGGTGAAACACACTGAAATTTTCAACTGATAAGCAAAGGTAAAAGCATACTTTAGGATTCTGTCTTAGCAAGGAAACATTACTATTGTACAGAAAGAGGAGACAAAGAAGAAGTAAAGAAAGGGAGTGAGGGACTGGGGAAGTGGTGGGGGAAAAATACACAAACTTTAGCATATTATGAATTTAATTTGCAAAGAATCAAGAGAAGACAAGATAAAATCATTACAAACAAATTTGCTTATGACAGAGTACAAATGTGGTAACGACTGCTTTCAATGCCATAACCCTCAGGAATAGGAAATAGGGCTGAGCAATGGGAAGGGAGTTGAACAGCTTAAAGTAGGGGAGCAGATGGGTTGCCCAGAGAGGTGGGCAGCAGGCGCTCTGAGGCATAGTGTGCTGCTGGGTTTTTGCTGCTGCTGCTTAGTCAGGCATTTTCTTCTTAATGTTTATTAGTTTTGAGAGAGAGAGAAAGAGAGACAGAGCATAAGCCGGGAAGGGGCAGAGAGAGGGAAACACAGAGTCCCTCTAAGGGATTCTCTAAGACCATCGCAATCCATATTCCATTTGCCCAAATTATCTGAACTTTTTTTTTTTTTTAAACAGTTGATTCATTCAAATCAAAATCCAAACAAGGTTCAAGTATTGCATTTGGGCTCTGTGTACCTTTAAGATTTGTAAAGTCTAAAATAGTTCTCCCTGCTTAAACAAAAAAATTTTACGGGGCACTTGGGTGGCTCAGTCAGTTAAGCTTCCAGCTCTTGATTTTGGCTTAGATCACAATCTCATGGTCATGGACCTGAGCCCCGTGTCAGCCTCCATGCTGAGCAAGGAGCCTATGTAAGATTCTCTCTTTCTCTGGCCCTCTCCCCCAGTCATGTCCACTGACTCTCAATTTCTCTCTCTAAAATAAAGTCAAATTAAAGTTAAATTAAATCAATGTAAAATAAATTGTTATCAAGGCATGGCATATACATGGTAAAGTGCCCAAATCATAATGGTATAACTTAGAGATGAGAGAAAAGAATACACACACACACATTCACATACACATTCTTATAACCACTACCTAGATAACAGAAATAATTCCCTTCCTTTGATAATGCTAGTTACTTGTTACATGATATAATATTAAAGCAAAATGTTTTAACCTTCTTGGGCATTTTTATACTTGTTTTATAAAAATAGTAAATCTCAGTAGCCTAAGCTGTTTTGACTACTTTTTACATGCTAAAAATACTGATGGAAAAGCTATATTCCATTAACATAGCCAATATGTAGGTTAACTAATGTAGTTACTAGGAGTTAACCAACATGTCAACATTTCTTTGATTTTGAAATGTCACTTGGTATGGCAACATGAGTTACCTTCTGAGAATCGGAAGCATTAGCTAGCAACTATAGATGTCATTTATTAATAAACATACAAAGCAAAGTTATTAAGTAAATACAGTTGTTCTGAGAACAAAACTTCTTAGAATATGGGGTCATTGGCCAGAAAAAAAATAGCAAGATTGGAACTATTGCCACAGAACCATAAAATTTTTTATTTGGAATCTATCTTAGAGATAATTTAGGCTACCCCCCACCCACTGAATAGATGAGATAAGATATGTAGTTGTTAGAATCTTTCCTCAGAGCACAGAGTAGGTAATGGTTTTTTATATATTTTGCTTTGATATTTGAAAATCATCTTTAATTCTTGATTGGAACTTTTTTATATCAGATGGAAAGTGAATTTTTCAGATGATCCCTGCCTGCCAAATATGCACAGCTGTTTGGGCACCGTTGTCATATTTTTCTTTGTGTAGTGTTTGCATGTTTTATTGTCATTCACCCCTATTAAAAAAATAAATGAAAAACTGACAAATGAAGATACTACTTGATAAAAAGTATAGATGCCATGAATACAATCTGATTGAGATCATAGTGGAAATCATCAAGCGTGCTAAATGTGGACTGTTGTGAGCACCAACTGAGTATTTGGTGCAATAGCAACTACATTATTTGTGTTCAACTTGGAAGGAAGAGAACAAAACTAAAGAAATAAAATGCTTGGAAATAGCTTATCAAAGTTATGACTAACATTAATTTAAGATGTAATTAGGGATTAAAAATACTATAATTCTATGGGAAAATGCATGTTCCACTTTCATTTATTTGATTTTTGAACCTGTTTTTTGGAAGTCTATGCATTAAAGTAGAAAACTGTATCAGTTGGAGAATGTCTTTTATGTTATTACATAAATACATTTATTTTTTTATTCATTTTGAGAGAGAGAGTGTGCATGAGGAAGTGGAGGAGGGGCATTGAGAGAAGGAGAGAGAGAAAGAGAGGATCCCAAGCAGGCTGTGTACCATCAGTATGGAGCCCAATGCAGAGCTTGGACACATGAACAGTGAGATCATGACCTGAGCCAAAATCAAGAGTTGGTTACTTAACCGACTGAGCCACCCAGATGCCCCTATAGAAAATACATTGTTAAATTGTTTTTCCTCCAATTTGCAAGTTCCCAGGTAGTCTGGCTTTGAAATCATAGTAGTGTACATTTTGTTTCAATTTTAAGAATTCTACATTCAGTATTCAGGTGTAACAAAAAATTAGTTCATTTCTCCAGAACATACATAGTTTATATCTTCTGGAATATGAAACTTACTGGATCTTAAGATAGACCATTTCTTCTAATTTTCCCCACAACTTCCGTGGCAAGTATTCTCTAACATAGAATCGTACTCTCCCCCTTCAGCCTCCATCTGTCTCAGCCACATGGCGCCTCTGTTGCCCCTTGCATTCCTAGGCTGATGGGCCAACAGGCTCTGTCCCTAAGAATTAGTAAAATGCCAACAAAAGTAGCTACGGTAATGTTATGGCATGTGCAATTTCACAGATTCTACAAGAGAAAATGCTATCAGGACAGTGTTGTAATAATAACAAAGGAAAGTTCTATTTTGGAAAACATGAGGAAGAGAAAGGATCAGTGTCTCCTCTTAGAGGTGGAACATCGTAGAGAAACTTCCAGTAAACTTCACTGAAGAAATTTCACGACAGCCTCACTTTAATATTTCAACAAGTTCAGTAAAAGTACTGTGCATGAACAAAGAGGACAAAACTGGAGGTGAAGCATATGAATGCATCTCTACTAAATAGTTAGCTAGAGTCCCTGATGGATTGTGAATTTAAAAAGCCAACAGAAAGGCTTGAAGGTTAGGAAATACAACCCTTTGTCCAAGTGAAATGTAAGAATGGTTGCCAAAAAACAACAAAGAAAACAAAAATTGTTAAAATGTTAGGAATAATTCATTTATTTCTTAGATAATAAATGTGAAGGTTTGGAGTGTGTGCGTGTGTGTGTGTGTACACTCTATCTATTGAAATTGGCTTGATTTCATAATACTTAAATATCCAGAAACTTAATTGTTATATCACTCACCAGAGAAAATTGTGAGTATAATCAAAAGAATAATTGGTGGAATCTGCTTGTCTTTTCCTTCAATTCCTAAACTATATCCATAATAAAGAGAACTGTTATTGTTTTAAATAGTTCTGATTTTGTTTTCAGAATCACTATAAGACCGGGATACAAAAAGCTAATCACATACCATTCTGTTGGATTGTTCCAAAACCAGTCCCAAAGACTTTTGAAAGATAGATTTTAGTTAGTGTTGGGGTTTTGGATTATTTTTTCTTTTAATCTATTTTTATTGCAAAGAAACCAAATTTATTTAAAAGAAACAAGTAAAGCATATATTGTTGAAACTAACAAAATCTCAATTAAATTAGTCTTGCATATGACACTACTGGTCACCTTAAGGAAAAAACAGATTTACAGAGAATATAATTCAATTCAAGTGGCAGGTTGGTTACACAATCCCTTTCCCCTTTAGGAACAATATGCTTTCAAGATACCCAGGTAATGAATATTAGAGTGACGGTGACAAATTTAAGTGACAAATTTATCTTTGTTTTTTTAAACACTGCAAGTTCTGTTATGAAAATATAGAAGATGCCAGAGATAATGCTTTAAATGTTTTAATGGGATCTACAAATGTTCTTCTCAAGATTTTAATGTAAATACTTGAGAAAGACTTATAACCCTAAAAGGACTGTTTGTTAAGTTATGTAGAGCAAAGTGTATTCGTGTACATTTTCATTTATCACTTAGAATTTCTTGAACTTAATCTAGTACGTGTTACACTTCAGATAGAAGTATGGGTTTTCTTTATACAAATGGTCCTTATATTTTGACAGTTTACCTAATCGTGCTCGTTTTTAAAATATGTTTGTAAATGAGACCAAATCTGCCTACTGGGTTTACTGAATCTCGCCATTTGTTTTCCTCGAAGGATACTATGTGAAACTGTAAAGGACTTTGTTGCCAAAGTGGAGAAGGCATATGAGAAAACATTGGAAAATGCTGTTGCAGCCGATGCTGTGGCCAATAAAGTAAGCAGGTCACCTTCAGAGCATGAAAGTTTTGACTGACAATGCTGGCATTGAATGGTGTTTTACAGCTAGACGGATAAAGTGGCTTTCTTACCAAAACATCTGAAATCAAGAGAAAAATTCCTTTTGAATCAGATGTGAGGGATTAAAACATTTTCTATTTTATGGTTATCCAGTAGGAAAGCTGCATTACTGAAGACCATCCAACAACACAAATTTTATAACTCAACTCCCTTTTCCCACTGATTGACATCTCGAGGGAGAAATGCACAGTAGTCGGGTCACATGGGGGCAGATGGGGGTTCCGCTGGGATTCCAGTGCAGAGAGGAATGGCTTTCCATTTCCGGGCAAACTGGTCATCAGGCTCCATCCGTCCTAGCGCCGTTCCTTGGGTTCTCCAGACAGTATGGCCCTTGGCCCCTTTCAGGGTTCTGTTTCTTGCTTTACCTTTTTCTTAATAGATTTTTCAACCCTTTATAAGCAGATCTGAGGCTGAAATAAGAAACTTAAAAGCTACTCTCTTTGCTCTCATATGTACATGACAGGGCATTCTTACAAAAGGTTCTTGGGCATGAAAAGGAATGGTCTCCTCCTTATTCATGCTGTAGATGGTGGTTTAATTGAGTGAAAGGAAAAGAAAATAGAAATAAACATACATTAGACATTTTCAGCTTCTTCTCATTTTTCTACTCCGTGGAGAGCTTCAGAAAGGTCTCTGTAGCCACACTTTTTTCTCTTAACTATTTCCCCCTTAGCCTTGTGTTAGCAGGACATCTAAGACCAGTAAAAGGAGGCGGAAGGAACTGGAATTGGTATGGCAATAAAAGGTAAATTAGGCTGTCACATCAACAGCTTCAGTTTTAAATATTTCTTTACCCATAGACATTCAAGAGAAGCAGACAGAAATAAGGACTGAGAACTAGGTTTTCTTTCTCTATCTTCTTTTACTTCTTTATCATTGTGCATTTTCCTTGTTTGCTCTTTTTTTTTTGAGCCATTAATTCCTTAGGCACCCTTCACCCCTTTTAAAACCAAAGCTTTGAAGGAGAGCTTACCAAGGCTCAGCCAGACCTGTAGTTTATGATGCTCAAAAATGGTACCATACATTGATTACCGTAAAAAGTTTACACAGTATTTTGTATAATGCATAAATGTTCTGTGTAATGTGTAAATTTTCTGTGTAATGTGTCGCTTTAAAGTGTTTGTTCTTTTCTTTTAAGGAAAAACAACTATATAAAGATGATAGAGATTTTCTTTTAAGGGAAAATAGTTACATAAAGATGGTAGAGTTGGAATATTCTGGAAGCATATGTAAAAATGTACATAATTGTGCTCTTTTTTAAAATGATAAATTGCTTAGTCCATAAACTCTAAAATATAATTTATAACAGATGGCCAGTTAATGGTAAATATTAATATAGGCATCTTTCCTCTAAAATCAGAAGCCATTCACTTAAATTATCATTTTCCATTCCCACCAAGTGGAGATTCATTACGGTATTTTTGTTTTCTTAGTGTTCAGTCCTAAATGAAAAGCTCGAACAACTGCTTCAAGCTTTGCACACAGATTCCCAGGCTGCCCCTGTTCTCCCCGGCGTCAGCTCTCTCATTGTAGAAGAAGATACTGTGGAATCTTCCAGCGAAGAATCTTTGTGTGAAAACAAAGAACAACTCACCGATGACCCTGTGAAACCTTCCTCCCAGAGAGCTGTCAAACCAAATGAAATAATGTTGCGGGCAAACAGTTTAAAGAAAGCAGTGAGGCAAGTCATTGAAGAAGCCGGCAAAGGTACACATGAACAAAAGTAGCTTTTGAAGAAGTTAGCAACATTCTTATATTGCAAGCACAGTGAAATTTTCACACCGGTCAGACTATACACACACACAGAATTTTTAGGCAAGACAGAACATAGGGCCATTAGAATGAAATTTATCCCCTGTATGGTTTTAGTAGTAAGGATCCACATATTCATGTTACATAAAGTAACATTTCAGAGATAAAGTATGCTGGAAATATTGAAAACTAAGTAATAATTCTAAAATTTTAAGTATCTTTTACTTCATTAGAATCTGTTGAGTTCTTAAAGAAAATCAAACCTGTAAGCTACTTTGAAAATACTTTCTTAAGTTTATTTCCTGAACATTTATTTTGTTTTTTAAAGACTTTGGAAAAGTCCCACCTGTATCTAAATTTTTGTTTTAATATAAGGTATGTACTTCTCTTAGAATTTTAGTAGTTGACTAAAGTTAACTGTAATATAAAAATGAATATTCAAAAACCCTTCTATAGGTTATAACTTGTAGTTGGACTTATATTTTATTCTCAATTTTTTAAATTTTTTCTTCTGATAAAATATAATTTTTATAATTTTAAATATTTAGCTGTATAATCTCTAATACTTAGACACATCACCCCCAAACTTATTATCAAGTAGTGTTAATTTGTGGATATGGAATTTCTTTTGGTTTGTTTCCTTTTCCTTTTTGAGCTTATATTAATATTTATGGATTTTGTTTTTACTCGTCCAAACATATTTCTCTCCTTACTTCTTAAAGTTCTGGATGACCAGAGTGTTCACCCTTGTGAACCAGTTAACCAATCATTCGATAATGATAGTACAGAAACAGATGAATCTAAAGAAGAATCTAAAGATGACAGTGCAAAAGACCCATCAAGTGGTAAGAAAATTATAATTATTTTGGAATTAAATAAAATATAATTCTGCTTTTACTTTTCAAAAGGCTTATCAGTTTGTAATAAACTTTGTATTGTAATTTTAACAAGACTTTTCAAAAGTTAAAGCTTAGATATTTGTGAATAGTAAAATAATAAAGGTAACATTTAGGCCCTTGTCAAGTACTCTTACATCCCTTTTTTAATCATATAATCTGGAGATCATCATAATAAACTAAGGATTATTGGACCAACCATAGCTAAAAATCTTCATTGGCTTGAAGAAAAAGGGAAGAAACACCTAAATCAACAGATTTTAACCTGTTTTTAGCCCACAGATGCATTTGAAAATCATGTGAAACCTATAGGTCCCAGAGGCACGGAATTTGGCGTTTCAGTAGTTTAGCAGTCCCTTGAACTCCACTGATCAGCTTGGATGGTTTGCTGATTCCTGTTGAACTCCACTGATCAGCTTGAATGGTTTGCTAATTCCTGTTGCTAAATTGATCTTTAAAAGCACTGGACATCTAAAATTATTTTTTCCAGGAAATTGATAGGTAGTTGCCTTTTTCAGTTCAAAGATGAATTTATATTTTTAATATTTCAGATTGTATAAAGCAATAACTATTAATTTCCTAGAATAAAACAAAGCAGAAATTAAAGTACTAATGAAGCTGAGACGATAATATGAATGTAATTGCATAACACTAATGAAAAGTCAACATTATTAAATCGGAACTGTTTGCGATCATTAAGCTTTTGCTTTACTTTCATTACATACACACTTGGGCAGGTTGCTTCATTTCTCCATGGTTTCCTCATTTGTCAAGTGCAGATAATGACATGTCTACCTGTGGTGAAAGTTAAAGAAGTTAATATATGTGGAGTGCCCAGAATAGCGTCTGGTACATAGTGCTGTGAAGGAGCATTTGCGGTCATTATCACTATTATTAGTGCTATTCCCACCACTGCTGCTGCTACTAATTACATTAACTTCCAAAAAATTCTCCTTAATTATATGTAAAACTCTTAGAAACTTTGAAATCAGACCTCACATGTATGGCATACAACCAATGCATACATATTCTACAACCTTAGCCCTTTTAGGCTTTATATGTACCTATTCCAGTGTACAACCAACTCTGTAACTAGACTATATGGACCTTAAAGGTCCCTGTCGCAGCATATAATCCAATACAGGCATACTTTATAACCCTCTTGACAGATGGCCACTCACTTTCTTTTTTTTTTAATATTGTATTTTTTTTAAGTAATCTCCACACCCAACATGGGGCTTGACCTCAAGATCAAGAGTCCCAAGCTCTACCAACTGAGCCAGCCAGATGCCCCACCACTCGTTTTCAATACATCCCATTCTTAACATCAGCTCTCAGTTGTGAGAAAGTTTTTCTCTATATTCAGCTTTAGATTTTCTTCTTAAATTTCTACCCATGATCACACTAATTAATGAAGTTTTATGTGTGATAATGTTAATAGTAACAACTGCTGGTTTTTTGTGGTGCTTTATGGATAGTTTAAATGCAATTTCATATGTATTAGCTCACAGTATTGAAGATAACTCTGCCATGTGGCAGACCTTGAAAACAGCTTTCATGGCATCATATCCTCTTCCCACACCTTATACCTTCTTTTCTATATTATCTCCTAATTCTTTTACCAATTTTTAACTTGATTCAAATGTTTTTGTTTTTCCGGTTGCACTCAATTGGTCAGTATGATGCCTCGTTTTGAACACAATCCTCCAGATAATAGCACACTGATTGCCTTATACTACAATTCTGTACAATTTTAATTTGATAAGGATTACCCAAGAGTTCTTCTTGGCATGAAGTATTATATAGCAATGCTATATAAACCTGTTCTCCTCCTATTTTGTGCAAGTGATTTTTTAAACCTAATTATAATAGTTTATGCTCATCCCTATGAACTTTTTATCTTTTCAATTTGGATCCTGTCAAAATCTTTGGAAGCTTGATTATATCATCTCAGATTTACTTCATCTAGAATTTAATGAGCTGACTTGTATGTTTTCATCCTTTAACAAAGTTGATTTAAGCAGGTCTGAAAATGGTATCCTTACAGTATGTTGCTTGATAATTTTCCCTAAGATAAGGTATGGCTTTCTTTGGAGGATTGATTTTTCAGCACTCACTGTTAAAATGGTAGCTGGTTTTAAAATGGTAACTGATTTTCCAACCAGCTACCATCCCACCTTACTATATTCTCATGGACTGAACACTTCCTCTGTAGCCTGCAAAGAAGAAAACTGAAACATACGGGTATGCAGCTCTAGAGATTGATATTGAAATAGACATCCGTTTATACAAGTCTTTAATGTTGCAATATTTGATTTTATTTTCTAGCTAGTAATCCAATTAAGTGGGAGTCAGTAGCAATAGAAATATTTCTGTATTAAATAATCATTATTTTTTGAAAAGCATTCATTATATTATTAAATTATGCAAGAATTCATATGCCTGATGTGTACAATATGATATGTTAATATGATCAATGAGATGTTATGTTTAAGAAAAAACATGAAACAGTAATTTAGTTATCTGCAATGTGACATCAATCTCAGTTACTAGGATGCTGTCTGCTTTTTATCAGAGATGGATATCAAAAGATTAGCCCCAGGTCTCACATCTGTACAAAAAAAAGTGAGCTGTTTTGCTACTTTCCTGTAGTACAGCTGGACTGTTTTTGAAGAGACAGAAGAGAGTGTAAGATTGATATGGTTAGTTTGTAATTAGTCTTAGGGAGAGTAAAGATAATTAAATTTTCAAGTATTTTTAAATTGAGTTTGAGGATTGCTGGGTTTTTTTTTTTAAACACCTGCCAATAGCTCCTAATTGAGTTAGATACTATTTGCTCTCCATTAAAAATTGCCCCAGTTTACACAGAATTAAATCTCTTTTTTTGTTGCTTACTGTGAGAATAATTGTGGTTATAACTTTTTAAGTGTATTGAGCATTTACAAGAATATGATAGAACTGTTCTGGGCAAATCATTGTTGTGAATATATAACTAATTGAGAAGTGCAGGAAACATAAGTTGGTTTCATTTGAAAAAACATATCATTTTCCTTTCATGTATAGAAGACAATGTTAACTCATGTTTCGTATATAGGCTCTAGTAACTACATTCATTAATTTTGATCATTTGCTCAACATTTATGACAAAAACATTGCATTGGTAGTATACATTATAACACATATGTTCCATTTTCAAAAATCATCAGGCTTCAAAATTGCTTTTTATATATATATAAAAATTTTTTATATATATATAATTTATTGTCAAGTTAGCTAACATACAATGTATACACAGTGTGCTCTTGGTTTTGGGGGTAGATTCCCATGATTCATTATTTACATAAAACACTATGCGTTGGTCACATTCAAATTATGAGTATTACTGAGCTTTAATTATGGTAGGCATCTATTTTCTACTGATCTCCATCTGTTTGAAATGAGACATCAAGACTTGTGGCAGAATCCCTCCATTCAGTAAATCTCAAGAAAGTGAAAACAATGGGAAAAGAATAGGTAAACACAGTGTAATATTTTCAGCTCTGCTCATTGATTTAAACATGCATTAAACTATTTTATGTCCTGAATTTATCAGGACTTGCTTACCTTTATCACTTTACCGTTATCTTTTTTATAATTGGGACTTTTTGCCAACAGTTAAAACTGCACCTGCACCTCGGTCTCCAGATGGCCGGGCAAGTCGTTCCCAAACTGACTCTGGCCCTGGTCCAGCTGTGGCAACCAGCAAAGAAAACCTCCCTGTGCTCAACACCAGAATAATCTGCCCAGGTAGTAGAGATTCCAAAACACGACGTATTTTTAAGTATTTCTGTGAAATGTATTAAGTATTCATTTCCATGAACTGTAGAAATGTGTTCTTAAAGATAAATACCCCTTTGAGAGAATGTTCTTAACACTGTTATCAACCAGACTCCGGATCCTTAGACGTGTGTGTGTGTAAGAATTGCCTTGGAAGTATTAAAATACATGTTTTAAGGCCCTGCCCTGAGAAATTTTAATTGAGTACTTCTAGAATAGAGCCCAGGAATCTGCATTTATTAAGCAACTTGCATAAATCGGATCTATATTCTACTACCTCTTAAGTATCTCCACAGTTTTCCTCTTAGTTATAAGCCACAGGTCTCTCTGTAGTCATTTTTAGACTAGTAATATTGCTTCACTTTGGAACATCTGAGGCGTCTATACCAGCTCTGATGAGGTGAATTTACCTTGGAATTCAGTTAGTGCTGGTGAAAACCAAAGAACTTGTACAGCAGGGAAAGAGGAAAATATAGATGTCTCAGGTGTTTCCTCCCATTCCAGTTGTGTGACTTAGTGAGAACTCTCAAGATTAATTCCAGAGTAGGTTGGATCCCCAGTTACACCCTTAAAATCAGTCTGTCCTACATGCTCGTTTAAAAGGTAAATTGCAATTCAAAAATAATAATAGTTGGAGACTTTATTATCCCACTCTCAGTAGTGGATAGAACAAGTAGACAGAGGTCAACAAGGAAATAGAAGAATTGAAAAACAAACAAAACAAATAGACCTAACAGATGTCTTCAGTACACTCCACATAACAGCCACAGAATACACATCCTTGTCTAGTGCATATGGAACATTCTCCAGAATAGACCCATATATTAGGCCCTAAAACAATTTTCAATAAATTTAGAGAGATTGAAATGTTATACAAAGGATGATCTTTGACCACGATGGACTGAAATTAGACATCCATAACAGAAGGAAATTTTGGGAAGGTACAAATATGTAGAAATATGTGGGTTAAAGAAAAAAAATCATAAGAGAAATTTTAAAATCCTTTGATATGAATGAAAACAAAAATATGCCATACCAAAACTTACTTGATGCAGCTAAAGAAGTGTTTAGAGGGAAATTTATAGCTATAACTGCCTCTACTAAAGAGGTAAACCTAACTCTTCACCTTAATAAACTGAAGAAGAGCAGACATACCAAAAGCCATCAGTAGGAAGGAAATAATAAATATTGGAATGGAAATAAATGACAAAGAGAATAGAAAACAATACAGAAAATTAATGATACCAAAAGTTGGTTCTGTGAACAGTTTAATAAAATTGACAGATCTTTAGCTAGAGTGACCAAGGAAATAAGATTTGAATTACTGAAATCAGGAATAAAAGAGGAAACACATCACTAACAAGCTTACAAAATTGATTGGGTTATAAGGGGAAGCTATCAATATTACATGCCAACAAATTAGATAACTTCAATGAAACGGACAAACTCCTAGAAACATGCAAGCTACTAAAACTGATTCAAGAATAGAAAATCCAACTATACCTGTAACAAAACTTCCTACAAAGAAAAGGCCAGGTCCAAATTACTTCAATTTGGAATTCTGCCAAGCATTTAAAGAATTAATATCAACAGTTCACAAACTCTTCCAAAAACTAAAAGAGGAAGGAACACTTTCCACCTCATTCTTTGAGGCCAGTGTTACACTGGTACCAAACCAAAGATGTTCAAGTCACTGATCATCAGGGAAATGCAAATTAAAAACCATAATGAGCTGTCATCTCACACCACTCAGGATGGCTATTGTTAAAAAAAATAAAAGACAAGTGTTGGGGAGGATGTGGGGTGCCTGGTGGCTCATTAGGTTAAATGTCCAGCTCTTGATCTCAGCTCAGGTCATGATCTCACAGTTTGTGGGATCGAGCCCTGTATTGGGCTCTGCAGTGATAGCGTGGAGGGTGCCTGGGATTCTTTCCCTTGCTCTCTCTGCCTGCCCCTCTCTCTCTCAAAATAAATTTAAAAAAATTTTTTTTTTAAATGTTCAGAAATTGGAACCCTAGTCTACTTCTGGTCAGAATGCAAAATGGTCTGTCTGCTGTGGAAAATAGTATGGAGGTTACTCAAAAAAACTAAAATAAGACTACCATACGATCCAGCAATCCCACTCTGGGAATTTATCAAAAGAATTGAAATCTGAATTTTAAAGAGATATTAGCACTCCCATGTTTATTGCAGCGCTATTCACAAGACATGAAAGCAACCTAAATGTCCATTGAGTGATGAATGGATAAAGAAAACATGGTATATACATACAATGGAGTATTGTTCAGCTTTAAAAAAAAAATCCGCAATCTGTCATAATGTGAATGAACCTGGAAGAAATTATGCTAAGTGAAATAAACCGGTCACAAAATAACAAGTACTACCTGATTTCACGTCTATGAAGTATCTAAAATAGTCAAAATCATAAAATCCAAGAGTGGAACGGTGGTTGCCAAAAGCTAGACGTAGGAGGAATGGGGAGCTGCCAGTCAACATGCATAAAGTTTCAGTTAAGCGAGGTAAATTCTAGAAATCTGCTTCCAACATTGTACCTGGAGTTAACAATACTGCCTCATACACTTAAAAATTTAAGGGGCTAGGTCTCATAGTAAGTATTCTTACCACAATAATATAAAGTAAAAAGTTAAGAACACCTGGGTGGCTCAGTCTGTTAAGCGTCCAACTATTGATTTCAACTCAGGTCATGATCTCACAGCTGTAGAATCAAGCCCTGCATCGGGCTCCATGCTGAGTTTGCGATTCACTTTCCCTCTGCCCCTCCCCCATTTACACATGTGCGCTCTCTCTCTCGCTCTCTCTCAAAAAAAAAAAATCAGAAAAAAAGTTAAACAAAACAAAACAAAAAACTGTTCCTAAGTCCTGGGCTCACCTGACTGAGACATTCTCCTTTTCTGATGGTTCACTGGTAAGGCCTCATCTTTGGTCTTCAATGATCTTCAAATAAATTAATTTTACATTTTGCTCAGCTTTTCAACTTGCCCTCAAAGTGAGGAGGGGTAATTGGTCTGGTGAACTAATAATCTGCCATCATCAGAATGGTACATTGATTTTTAGTTTTTGCAAATTCTGGGTTGTTGTGGCATTCCATGAAACTTTCTCCTCTCCTAAATCAAAAAGGATGAATGAAAAGGAAAAAAGAAAAGACAATCCATAGAATAAAAGAAAATATTTGTAAACAGTGTATGTGGTAAGGGACTAGTATGCAAAATTTAGAAAGAGCTCTTAAAATTCAAGAATAAAAAGACAAGTACTTCAGTTTAAAAATGGGCAAAGGATCTGAGTTGACACTTTTGCAAAAAGATCTACAAGTGGCCAATAAGCACATGAAAAGATGCTCATCATCATTAATCATCCGGGTAATGCAAACCCAAACCAGTACGAAACACCACTTCACTTTACTTGGATGGCTGTGATCCAAGAAGACAGATAACTGGCAAGGACACGGAAAAGTTGGAACTTTTATACTTTGCTGGTGAGCATAGGAAATGGTGCAACCATTTTGAAAAACAGGTTGGACTAAAATGCAGCGGACTATTATCCAGCCATTAAAAAGAAAAAACACTGGAGTGCTTGGCTGGCTCAGTCAGTGGAGTGTGCGACTCTTCATCTCAGGGTTGTGAGTTTGAGCCCCACACCGGGTGTAAAGATTACTTAAAAATAAAATTCTTAAAAAATAAAGAACAGAGCCCTGATACATGGTGCAACATGAATACCTCTGAAAACGTTATGCCCAGTGAAAGAAGCTTGACACAAAAAGCCACATATTATACAATTACATTTATATAAAATGTCCAGAGTAGTCAAGTCTAGAGAGAACGGAGGTTAGTGATTTCCAGAGTCTGAGGATGTGGGGAATGGAGAGCAAGGAAAATGACTACTAACAGGCATAGGGTGTTTTTGTAGAGTAATAAAAAATGTTCTAAATTAAATGGTATTGATCATTGCACAACTTTGTGTAATTATGCACTTACTTAAAAGGTGAATTTTATGGTATGTGAATTATATCTCAGTGAAATATTAAAGTAGATAAATCCAGAAGCCATGTTTGATTCTGGAAAGACCTTCATGTCTGGAGGTTATATCTCTGTTCAAACCTGAAATCATGAGATGACGTTTCTGGCTGAAGCTACAAACATGGCTGACCTTAAAACACTTTATAAAATATCATCCTTTTCTGTGGGGCAGCTGGAGTCTGATTCTTCACCTCTCAAAATGAGTTTTATTCCTCACCAGAATGGTGACTTTGTTCATTTTATTTACTTATTTATATATAAAAGAAACGGTAATAACTAAGTATGTCATAGCACATTAAAAACTATGAAATTAAATGACCGAATAAAATTCATCTTGATTATTTGATAACCAGCTACACTTTGTAACTGAAATAATGAATTCTTATCTTCTAAGAAGAACATACTGCTAGGGAAAGAAATGTTTACTAAAGAAAGGGCTAATTTCCTGGTGTTTCTCAATTCCCTGACATATTTTTCTTCACTATTCTTTCCTTTTTGTTTGTTTGTTCCATTAGGCCCTTATTATTTTGTCTTCTTTGCAGAGTTTAATGCTTCTAGCCTCACTATTGGGTTGGGTTGAATATCATAACTACTTAGTAGAATGCTAACTACTTGTTGAAATAAATTTGAAGTTTTACATATTTAGAAGTTAAGATAAATGCTTCTTTTTTTTACACTGAATACTGTATTCTTCTGAAGTTCATAAATACCTGTGTTCCATATTTTTATACTTAACTGTTGTTACCAACACTGAGTTTTCAACTAGTAGATGTTAATATTTTAAAAAAAAATTTTAATGTTTATTTTTGAGAGAGAGAGAGAGAGAGAGACAGAGTGCAAGCAGGGAAGAAGCAGAGAGAGAGGGAGACAGAATCTAGAGCAGGCTCCAGGCTCTGAGCTGTCAGCACAAAGCCCAGCATGGGGCTGGAACTCATGAACCACAAGATCATGACCTGAGCCAAAGTCAGGCGCTTAACCCGTTGACTGAGCTACCCAGGCGCCCCTATCTGTTAATATTTTTAAGTGAATATTATTATCTATGCTTTCAAAGCATGGAAGTGGTAACACCATGACATTCTGGGTAATTCAGCCTTAACTGCAAATTTGTTACAGACTTACCACCTTATTTGCTTAACATAGGAGGTAATATTTACTTGTTGGTGTTATAGAATCACTAGAATGGTAAATGAGAAACTGTCACAGAGAGACTCAATTATTTGAGTCTTCATCAGCTGCATTTTTATGACATTTTTTATTCTAAGTGTAATTATCAATGTTTTTAGTTTTGAATAATGAGAAGAGCAGACATTTAAAATCATGCTTTGGGAGCAAGATATCTGAGATTAAGCCTGAAAACAATGCACTGGCTCTTTCTCTTTTTTCTTAACGCGATCCTGTATGTATTTATTTTTCTGGCCAGGTTTAAGAGCAGGATTAGCTGCCTCAATTGCTGGGAGTTCTATTATCAACAAAATGTTACTAGCAAATATTGATCCTTTTGGTGCAACGCCTTTTATTGACCCAGATCCAGATTCCGTGTAAGAAAAATACTTTTGTAAATATCTCATTTTGGCTTTTCTTGTTTTTACTTTATACGAATGGTAACACTGTTAATGCATTACAAGAAACATTGTTCCCCACACAAAAAGGGTCATGAGAAAGTTTCAAGAGATGATAATGATGAGTACATTGATGCATTTGAAACACAGTGGTTTTCAGGATTTGTTCTGGAGGTAGATTCTGTCCAGCCCATTTCCCTGTGGCAAAATGAGGCACACCTGTAGTCACTTTTCCCTGGAATATTGTATTATTTATTTCAGGAAGCATCTGGCCCACACTGATCTCTTCCCTTCTTAAAAGTACAGGGTTCTTTTGGGTTTTTTTGGGGTTTTTTTTGTTTTGTTTTGTTTTTTGGCAGTTCAATATGAACTTTTACTTCCATGTTTAATTTTGTTCTTATATCTCATTTCTCTAATGACATTTCTCAAAGACATCGCCATATTGTTTTAATTTAAAGTCATGTTATTTGACATGTAGTTTGTCCATCAATAAGAGTACAGTGGAGAAGACTTAATAATGCTCAAGAAAGGAGCATTGGCACCTGACTGCCAGCCCCTCCCACTTGTATATGTAGTGAAGGGTTCAAGTGGGAAGTAAAAGAACCAAGGTTTTATTACAAATAATAGATAGTGCTTTGCCCACTATCCCTTTTATCACATGTACCAAAAATTACACATATGTACTGGGGTTGTACACATGGCATATAAACAGGAAATAATTCCTGCTAAGTTTTACTCTCTTCTGTAAGGAATGGAAGCTTAAATGGTGTTAAGCGCTGTTTTGTGTGCCAATTGTAATTGTGATGAATCTGAAATTGACTTTTATGTACTTTTCCATATTATCACAGAGATGGATATTCAGAAAAATGTGTCATGAACAATTACTTTGGGATTGGATTAGACGCAAAAATTTCATTAGAATTTAATAATAAGAGAGAGGAGCACCCTGAAAAATGCAGGTAATTTTGGGTAATAGTAATAATGTTATTACAGGAAGGCAATTTCACTTTAATTTCATTTATTACCACTTTTGCTCCCTCTGCCTTTAAAGGGCGAACAAATAATAGCTATTGAATTGTCTACCAATGTTTATTTTCAGGAGCCGAACTAAAAATTTGATGTGGTATGGAGTCCTTGGAACCCGGGAGTTATTACAGAGGTCGTACAAGAATTTAGAACAGAGGGTTCAACTTGAGGTAAGTTCATCTTGAAGTAAAGATATTTCAGGTTATTTTACTTAGAAAAATAATTTCATTTGGGGAGCTCATTTGGCCTCAGTTCCTCTTCGAGTGTTTAAACACTCAATAGAAGTGATTACCAACTTTATACTAAGGGAGGAATAGACACTGGATATGAATGACACACTTAATTATCATTCTCATTCACTCCTGAAATTTAGATGCTATGTGGAGTCACGGTAGCCTGTGAGAAGGTGCAGCTATGAGAGTGCATTTATAGGAGAGCATTTGTAACAGATTCTCACAGATTTTCTCATTTAAGTTTACAAATGTTGACCCAATTCTATAATGGCCTGAAGTGTAACAAATCCCTGGAAAAAACATTTATAGTAAGTAGACTCTTTTAATTCAAATGTATATTTGTTCCAATTATTTCTAACAATAGTAAACTAAAAAGAGATTTTGAGCATTTAAATTTTTCAGTAGTTTTTGATTTAAATAGGAAATTAAGGACAGCAAAAGTTATTTAGTCTTCTCCAAGAAGAGAAAAAAGAAGGTTGGAGACATGGCTCTGAAAATCCTACTAACTTCTGTGAAATTTTTTTCTTTCACCCTTGATCCAGGGCTCATAGTTTATACCGGTATGCATGTCTTTCCTATCTTGTGTCTTTTTATAAGCAGATATTTTAAATTAAGTTATAGCCTACATACAAAAAAGTCTGCAGATCTTAAGTCTACAGCTTATTGGATTAAAGAGCACATTTTTTATTTTAGGTGTTATCTTAATACTGGAATGAGCACTGGCTCATTCATTATCAACAATGCTTTCATAAAGATAAATCTGTTATACCTTCCACTCTAGAACACAATCACATGATCAGCTCGTTTGATTTATCACCACTTATGAAATTAAGATGGATATTACTGACACTTTTTCCATCTCCTTTAAGCTGGTGATATGATTTAAACGGCTTCTTCTAAAGCACACAGAGATACCTGTTCAATTTATTAGATTCAGAAAAAGTTCATTATTCTACTAAATACTTAATGTCTGTTCATTTTAAGAAATACACAGTTGGGCAATAGCTGTGTACATGATTGGCCCTAGGTACTGGGATAGAGTATAGAACTTTGAATTTGTTTTTATAAAAAAAGAAAAGAAAGTGTAAAAAATATGTATAGGAGTATAATCAAGCATAAAATATTCTCAGTTATTTAAAATGGTTGAAAATGGATTGGAATTGGATTTTCATTTGTTCTAAGGACTGGGGACGATTTTGATTTGGTATTAGAATGCAAGTTTTATAAAGTTATTTTAATTATTTTTTATTGAAAGAATTATTTAATGAAAATATAGCACCTATTTTAAGTATGACATCTGCAAGCTCTTCTCTTTTAAGATGAAAGATTGAGAATTTACTTACCTGTCATGTATAATAATTCACCAGCCATATGATACTTGTTCCCTATTTAAGTAGTAATTTAGTTTTCATTTTTGTGATTAATTAGAAGACAGAGTAAGTATGGGATACTTCCTGACATGCATGGTTTTTCTCTCCTTGGTTTTGGTTCTGACTACTTGAGAAATCAGCTTGAGTTTTGGCCAGCCACCAGTTAGTGACAGAGGACCAGCCCAGTATGAGGAGTTCCGAGACGGGCGAGATGAGGTGGCTAGGACCCAGAAGCCCTCACTCAACTTGCTTCCAAAAGGATGCTTATAATAAGCACAAAGATGACCATAATACGAGGAAAAATACAAGTGACTTAAAAAAGAAAACTCAAGAAAAGTACTGCCTGATTTGGGCAGAAAGAGGTTTACATTCTTAAGTTTGTTTTTCTGTAACCTTACAGAAAGGTAATTTACACCTTAAATTTTTTTTTAGTTAAAAAAAAAAATAAGATAAAGTTAACACGTAGGAATATATTTACAGGAGAGCAAACATTACCAACACCCTTCCCTCCATCATCCTTTGCCTTTGGCCTTCTAGTGGCTTCCCAACTAGTGGTTTTGCTCTTTTTATCTAACTTGTAAGCTTTTTACCTTACAGTGTGATGGGCAGTATATTCCTCTCCCCAGTCTGCAAGGAATAGCAGTATTGAACATTCCCAGCTATGCCGGAGGCACTAACTTTTGGGGTGGAACTAAAGAAGATGATGTAAGTATCTCCTTGCACCTTCTAAATTCTAGAGGCTGCCCACATTCCGTGGGTCATGGCCCATTCGTGCATCTCCAAAGCCAACAAAGGCACGTTGAGTCTCACATTGCATCATTCTGATCTCCTGTACTGCACTTGTCTTCCCCTTTTAATGACTTTTGGGATTACACCGAGCCCACTACATCATCCAGAGTGATCTCTCCTTCTCAACGTCCCCCCTGGTAATCACACCTGCAAAGCCTGTTTGACCACATAAGGTAACATTCACTACGTCTACAGATTAGAACGTGGACATTTTTAGGGTAGAAAGGGAGATGTTATTCTGCCTACCAAAATACCTTTCTGTCTTTTTAACTTTCAACATTTATGTGTCCATTACTTTATTTTTAGAAATGCTAAGAGAGCTCATTTGTCCATTAACATTTAGGTCTATGTTTGTCCTGTTTTTAGACTTTCGGTCAAAAAAGAAAAAAATGCAGCTTAACAATGTAACATATAATAATGAAAACACTGTGACAACTATAAAATTTCCATTAGCTGTGAATTTTTTGTCAGCCTGTAACTACTCTTCCATTCTTCAATATCTTGATGGGAAGAAATCAACAAGATAAAGATAAATAAAGCTAATGACACCTCCTAGGTAATAAGTGTTCTGAGAGCTCCACATTCATTTCAGACAAACACAATTTTTATCTAAATTTTACCAATGAAGAAACTGACACAAAGTTCACACAGGAAGTAGCAGAGACAGGATTTAAAACCACACAGTGTGCTCACAAAAATAAGAAATTGGGGTGCCTGGGTGGTTCAGTCAGTTAGGCCTCTGACTTCAGCTCAGGTCATGATCTCTTGGTTTGTGGGTTTGAGCCCCACATTGGGCTCTGTGCTGACTGCCAGCTCAGAGCCTGGAGCCTGTTTTGGATTCTGTGTCTCCCTCTCTGACCCTCCCCTGCCCACTCTGTCTCACTCTCTCTCTCTCAGAAATAAATAAAAACCTTTAAAAATTAAAAAAAAAAAAAAAAAAAGAACATACCAAGTGAACTGGGTATTTTAGGTTTCCTGAAATTACATGCATCATTTTATCAGGACATCTGAGTTACGTGTGAACAAATATTTGATGCATTTTATGCCCAGATGGATTATTTAAATGTTTTTTAATGTTTATTTTATTTTTGAGAGAGAGAGAAACAGAGCAGGGTAGGGGCTGAGCGAGAGGGAGACACAGAATCTGAAGCAGTCTCCAGTCTCAGAGCTGTCAGCACAGAGCCCGAACGCGGGGCTTGAACCCACCAACTGCGAGATCATGACCTGAGCCAAAAGCAGATGCTCAACTGACTAAGCCACCCAGGCATCCCCAAGATGGATTATTTAGAATAGAATAGTTCACTGGTTCAAAGAGTGCTTTATGAAGGGCATGAATATTTTATCCATGTGTGTTTTAAATCTTTTTTATTAAGTTTTCTTACATTAAATCATCTTCAGTGGGGTTTTTTTGGGTGGTGATGTTCCTTGGCCTATCATTTCCTAATAAAATTTACTTCTGCTTCCTATTTTCATAGGGTTTGTTTTTTTTTACTGTATATGTTGCAGAATTTACACTGCTGATGTGCCCCTTCATCGAAACATTAACCTCATCAGAGGAAATGTAATACAGTTTTTCCTTTCAGATATTTGCTGCACCATCATTTGATGACAAGATCCTGGAAGTCGTTGCAATATTTGATAGCATGCAAATGGCAGTTTCAAGGGTCATTAAACTGCAGCATCACCGAATAGCCCAGGTTTGTTTTCTCTGTTCTAACCTGACCTCCCTCCTTGGGCCATGGGAAGCTATTCTGAATAACCCCTATGCTGCCTGTCCATCTATAAAATACGGACTTTTTGTCATGTTAGTCGTTACTGTGCCATGGTAAGTGGAAAAATAGACATTCCGTCCCACGGAATGGACTCAAAGTCAAGCTTGGATGCAGATTGTCAGTTTCTCGGGATGATTGGTTCTCTAAAACAACTTGTTTTATTTCAGTGCCGCACAGTAAAGATCACTATATTTGGTGATGAGGGAGTCCCCGTGCAGGTAGATGGCGAAGCTTGGGTGCAGCCGCCAGGGATCATCAAAATTGTGCACAAAAACAGAGCTCAGATGCTAACAAGGGACAGGGTATGTAAAAAAAACATTCCTCTAGGTTTTTATCGAGACTTTTAAAAAATATTCAATTGTTATGAAAAGTAGAAACCATGGAAAAATATTTAAATGGTCTCTTAAATCTGACAGGTCATTGTAATTTTAAATGTGAACATTTAGGGTTTTTTTTTTTTAAAGTTAATAGACTATATTTTTATTGTTTCTTTTAGTTTTACAGAGAAATTGATCAGAAAATACCAAGAATTCTAATTCTATTCCCACCTACCTCCTTACCTTACTGACATATAGTCCCTTATCATTGACATCTTGTGTATTAGTGTGGTACATTTGTTACAGCTGATGAGCCAATATTGATAATTAAAATTCATAGTTTACTCTTCATGTACGTTTTATAGTTTTTGATGAATCTGTAATTACTTGTATCCACCGTTATAGTAGCATACAGGATAGTTTCACTATCCTCAAAATTCCCTGTGCTCCACCTATCATCCGTCACTCCCTCCCTTACCTCAACCCTTGGCAACCATCTACCGCTTTACTTTCTCCAGTTTTGCCTTTTCCAGAATACATGTTTCAATTAAGGCCATACCCATAACGGAGGAGACTGCCAAAACCCATCTTGTCCATTGTGCATATAAAGATTGAGGCAGACATTGAAGCCGTCTTTTTAAAACTTTTCAGTGACGCATTCACTGTCATTGATCACATTACTTACTTTGTATGATAACACTGGAAAGCGTTAGGCAATCTTTTTTGTATCTTATGATTTCTTTAACGAGGCTTTAGATTAGGAAAAGGCAACGGTTTTAAAGTCATTTGTGTAACATCTCAATATACACTTATTTGGTCTCAGAGCTTCAAACTGACGGTTCCTTGCAATACTGATTTTTAAATAGGCTTTTGAAAGCACTCTAAAATCTTGGGAAGATAAACAGAAGGGAGATTCCGGTAAACCAGTTCTCCGAACCCATTTGTACATCCAGCATGCCGTTGACTTGGCCACGGAGGAGGTGTCCCAGATGCAGCTGTGCTCCCAGGCGGCGGAGGAGCTCATCACCAGGTATGGCGGGGCTGCCGGCTGCGGGTGGGGAGAACTCTAGCCTTGGCAAGTGTTGTTTTCTAGTTTAGATACATAATTTCAGTTGTTCAGGGGTATCCCAAAGAGATGCATTTACTCTCCTTCCTCATTTGCTGCCTCATTCATGCCTCACTAAGGACTGCCCTCCTTCATTGGACCTTCTCCCTGCACATACAGGTGCACACCTGTGTTCTCTGTCGAACAGACCTTGGACTTGCTGAACCCCAGTGGGGAGCTTGCCTAATGTACCCTACCACACAGTGCGCTTTCTGTTATTGTTTATTTCCCCAGTTTTACACATTCTTTACACTGTACTACTTACTGATATGGTATCTTATAATTATTAATCAAAATGGTTATGGAATGTAGACGGAAATATACACATGCACCCTGCTTGCAAGGACATCTGGGGGTGTGTGGGTGGGAAGAGTAAGAGAATCAGTTTCCAAAAGACATACCCAGAGATTGGGAGACAACACAGAAGTTACTTTTAGTAGACAGAAAGGGAAGAAATGAAAACAAAACAACCCACACAAGTTCCATGAATGTAAAACAGAGAAACAGATATAAATCCCTATAAGCAGGAGTAAACTTCAGTGGGAGAAGCGGGGTAGGCATCCATGGACAAGTTACTTATCACCTCTTCACCTAAATCTTCTCTACCAAATGGGGCTAATGAGAGCTAACTTTGCAGGTCATTGTGAAGGTTCAGTGAGACCTATCATATCTTAGCACATCATGTCTGGCCTAGTTAGTGTTCTGGTAGTTTAGCTAGTCTGTTCTTCCCACACTTCATCTGGTCACTGATAAAAATGTTGAAAACGAAAAGAAGGAGAACAAATATTTAAATATTTGTTAGAAACCTAGAATGTACTAGAGGTTGGAGATGTAAGAGAAAAGGGTCTCCTCCCTAAAGCTGGAGACCAACATTCAGAAACAGAATAAAGTACAAGTGCAAGATACTAAGTTGCTTAGAAGCAAGGTAAAAGAAAATGAATAGTCAGATGTATGTACAGAAGTGCATTATCGTACCTCCCAGCTTCTTACCCACAGAGATTAGTTTCAGGGTACTACAGACAACTTACATGGACCCCACTTTACCGTGGGGTTGTTTTTCCTTCTTTTCCAGGCCTGGTGAGGGATAAGTAACAAATCACTGATATACACAAGGTATACATGTGATAATTTGATATGTGTATACATTGTCAAATAAGTAACCATAATCAAGCTAATTAACAAATGATGGAAAACAATATGGTGGTTTTTTAAACAATTAAAAATAGAACTACAGCATTTTCTTGAAACCAAAATATACTTCCTATGCTATTTCCCTTGAAACCAAATATACTTCCTATATTAACTTCCTGTCAACTAACCAAATAACCTTATCAAAACAAGGGAAGTGAAGGCAAAAAAAAAAAAAAAAGGCCAAAAGCAAGTCTGGCCAACCTAGTTTGGTTCCCCATATATTAATTTGCCTTTTTGTTTAATTTTGCAAAAGATGAAAATCAGGCTCATGCATCTATTTTCAAAACTTACTCGTTTAATATTCAGCAAATAATTTGGAGTCCCTGCTGCATGCAAACCTCTATATTAAGCCCTGGGGATGACAAAATGGCTGTGTGGTGGTCCCTCTTCTTAATTTGCTGGCAGGGTAGTAGGGAAAAGTGCAGCCAAAGGACTCACAAGACTCAGAGTGGAATGCTGTGAATAAACAGAGGAGGCCACAAAGTAAGGGAGGGCTGCCTGGAAGAAGAGACCTCTCAGTCAAGTCTTGGGGAAGAGTAAGAGAAGGAGCATTCTAAACATGGGAACAGGTCTGGGCAGAGGCCCAGGGGAGTGTGAGTGCATAGTGTCTTTAGGCAATCTCAAGGAACTGGGGAGGCAGAGAGAGTGGAAAATGTGAGATGGAGGGGTGAAGAGGAGCCAAGTGTTTGCCAGAATGTTTCTGGAAGCAATGTGAAATATTGTCTGCAAGACAGCAAAGCAGGGGCAGGGACAATAGTCTTGGGATGGTCCCGATAGGAAACAGTGGATTAAGGTAATAAAGATGGACTGAAGACAAACTGCAGGTAGATTAAGATCTAAAATTGCCAAATGGCCTGAATTATGAGACACGGCGACCCTAAGGTTTCTACTGAATGGCTGGATGGATTACGGAGCCTTTCAAGGAACTGTAGGATTCAGGAGGAAACATAGATTTGAGAGGGAGAATGACAGGGTCCATGTTCCACTTACAGAATTTAAACTACATTAGAAACGTCTAGGAGGAGATTTAGTAGTCGAAGTATTCATCTGAAATTGATTTGTCTCTTTTCCTTGTTTTGAAAATTAGAATAATTTTTACCCACCTCTATTCTTCTGATAAATAACCCCTTCTTCACGATTTCTCAAGATTATTGGTAGCAATACTGAGATGACATTCGTAAATTCTTTTGTGGCTTGGATATCAGTTATATGATCTTTACCTTTACTTCTGATTCAACTATCCAGGACTAGTCTCTTTTCTTGTGGGAAGATCATCTTCTCCTTGAAGATGTCAGAAACAGAAAGGATTTGAATAGTTTTGCTTTCTTACTTATCTGCAAACTTTATGTCATTTGTTAGCAATTGGTGGAACTTTTCTTCCTTTCTCTTCTTCGGCCATACTGCCCTCCAGGATCCTGTCTGTTTAGGACAATCTTGAAGGTTTAGATTCTCGAGGACTGTGACACAACAGGCTTTGGAGCTAATGAATATAGATTCAAATCCTGGCTCTGTTACTTAATTAGCTTTGTATGCATTCTGAATCTCCAAGCCTCAAGGTCTTCATCTATAAAGTAGAGGAAATTCATCACAGCTACCTTTTAAATTACGAATGCTAAATTAGGTAATGTATGTAAAGAACTTAAGAAATAGATGATAAATATGGTAACCTTCTTCCCTTAATCTGTTATATTTGTTTCTGGTTGAAGCTTCAGTGAATTAAAACTTGAGTTTCTGGGGGCGCCTGGGTGGCTTAGTCGGTTGAGCGTCCGACTTTCGCTTAGGTCATGATCTCGCGGTTCGTGGGTTCGAGCCCCGCGTCGGGCTCTGTGCTGACTGCCAGCTCGGAGCCTGGAGCCTGTTTCAGTCTGTGACTCCCTCTCTCTCTGACCCTCCCCTGCTCGCGCTGTCTCTCTCTCTCTCTCCTAGAAATAAATAAAAATATAAAAAAAAAACAACAAAAAAAACTTGAGTTTCTGCTCCCTGTAATTGGGACCTGTCTCACTTTACAATGATACTTCAAAATGAAGTGTTCCTATATTTTGTTCTTCCAAAAAGCACCTCTACAGGCTTATCTGTGATTGTAAGCCTAACTTTTCCCATTAAGATTTTCAGTTTAGCATTCTTCGTTGCAATGGGGTTTGGATTTTTTAAATCTATCCTTTGTTATTCATAATTGAGCACTCATTAAAAAAAATTCCCATAATGACCTTGGTTTGTTGTTTTTGTTTTTCTTTTGTTTTTTTTTTTACTTGTCTTAGACTACCACTCCTATACTTCAGAACAATCAGCAATGCTCAAGGGCTTTTTTTTTTTGTTCATCTGCTTTATTTTTGCTTTCAGGATCTGTGATGCAGCCACGATCCATTGTCTTTTGGAGCAAGAACTGGCTCACGCTGTGAACGCATGCTCCCACGCACTGAATAAAGCCAACCCGCGGTTCCCAGAGGTGAGGAGCTAATGGTAAATCTCATTCTACAGATTGTTTGGTACTACTTATATATTTCAATGCTATAAGATGTGCCACGCCCTATGAAAAGCATTCTACAGTCTGTAGGAGTGTCTGCCAGAAGCTTGTGGTAAATTTGTGGTCACATTTTCCCTGATTTTTCTTTTCCTACCATCTTTCCATTCTTACTCTTAAATTCTTCTTTTTTAACCCCCATTTCATTTTCAATCATTTGTTACCTTTCCATCTTCCTTCCACTTAATTCTCCTTCAAGCTACTACCATTCCTCCTTATCCTTTCTTTCACCTTCTCCCCTACACCTCGATGTAGGGCATACCTAGATACTGTGCTTTTTATTAGAGATGTTCATTCATTGTTGAAATCGTGTACAGAAGCTATTCTCACTTCATTTTGTTCTACTAAACCGGTACGTTGGTAAATCCTTTAGTGTAGAGACTACAATTTTGTAACTTCTGTTAACTTTTTAATCTAGACGTTAATAATAGAAGGGATAGAATATAACCCTATTGAAATGTGATACACAGTACAAGACTGTAGTGTAGAGAAAACTGATAGCATCATTTTATTCTTTTAAATTATTTGATGGAAGTCACCTAAACCAATACACAGATAAGTGCTAGTCCTCAAGGTGATAGTCTAAAAAACAATCTGGTTGGAACTTCTGAGAGTGAAAGTCAGTGGATTGAACTGATTATGATCTGATAATACCCCTTTAAGTCATTGCCTTCTTTGACTTAACTTTTTTGTGGGGGTATGTATATGTGGTTGTGAGCAGGCACATGTTTGTATGTAGGGGATGTGGTCCTGAGTGTATCAGTACAGTCAGAGCATTTGCCTGGTTCAGTGCTGGAAAGATCAGGAGAAGTAATCATCTGAACAAACATGAGTGTGAAGTTATTCAATGATAATACATTTGAATTCGGTAGGGTTTTAAAAATATCTGTGATGTGAATTTATTGGAAGAATAAAATTGGAAGTATTTGTTGATGACTGAATCCCAATTTAATACAGAACTACTTGTCTTTGATGTGTTGTGTTTTTTTCTAGAGTCTTACGAGGGACACTGCCACTGAAATCGCCGTCAATGTGAAGGCACTGTATAATGAGACAGAATCTTTACTAGTCGGCAGGGTTCCTTTGGTAAGGAGGAAACGACTGATAGCACAGGAATGACCATCAGTGTATGGGCCTCCCTTTCAGTGATGAGCACACATTCATCAGATTCCAAGGCAGAAGCAGCCTTCTGGCCTTCATCCTTACAGCTTTCTCTTTACCTGGCTTTTGCCTTCAGGAAAGGACATGGCTAAACTGGGCAGTTGAGATTCAGGCTAACAGAAGAAGTTTCTTCCCCTTACACATGCCATCATGTTTTTATGCAGTTCTACCTTCCCCAGTCAGCTTTGATAGATCTGAGCCTCAGGAAGTAAGCAGGCCTGCCTCAGGTACTCATTAACTCATTCTTGCAGAAAAGTAAGGAAATTAGGTTTTGTTCCCAGAATTAACATTTGAAATATGATTGGTATGGAATTTAGATTTGCTTAAAGGGCAACACTTTCTAGACTGGATGCTCCAAGAACTAAATTCAGGCACTCTCCCCACTCCTAGAGTGGTCCTGGAAATCAAGTTTAGGGCAGGTCTGAATCTAACCACAGTCCATGGACCTCAAGCATAAGAGCTACAGCTCCACAGATGTCCTGTTTGGTTTGCCAGAGTCTGGCTTGTCAGCCTTTCTTCTCTCACCATTTTCAAATGTTCTAGAATATTGGGTCTTCTCGCCACCTAGTGTTCACTTGTGGGTTATTGACACGTGCTGTCCTAACTGTGTAGAAAGCCTAAATGCGTTAGCTATTTTTAACTTCCTTGTAACAATTCCGATTAACTGATCAGTGATGGTCTTGAAACATTTCTCTTGACTGTAATTTTATCTCTTCTTTGGAAAATATACACCTAAATAAAAGTGGTAGCAAAAGTCATAGTGTCTGGCATAGTGGGAAAATGGAAGGTGTATCACAGGCTAGCTAGCTAAGTGACCATGGTTGGAATTTCTGCTTGATTGGGGTCTTCTAGAAGAGTACCCTCCTTAGACCACCTTTTACTCCGAGAAATGTCAAGGTTGAATGGCGTCCATTGCTCTTACTCCCCTCCAGAGGAAGCTGAAATGCAAGTTCCTTGGGTCAGAGGTAGCTGCCCATTCTTTGGCCATGAAGAAAAACTTTTAGGAAGAAATATTGGTTCTTTTATGTTAAAATCAATGGAACATTTTGCCAATTCTTAACACTTCTCTTGTTAACCAGAGTCATCCTACTGCTTTTTAAAAATTTGTCCAGTGATATCCAATGAACTGTGACTTTGGTCCCAATTTTTAGGTAAAGGACATATATTTTTTGCCATACTTGAAATATGTTTAAGATAACTTATGATTGACAAGAACTAGAAGTATAACTTATTCTGTATTTTAGCTCTCTAGTCTGAAAGGACCCAGTGAGTGTTAGTTGATTAATATTTATCAATTATATGATGTTAATATAGAAAGACCACCCACACAGACTTTTAAATCCTTTCAATCTGCTTCTGTCATTGTCAAATGTGGGTCTTTGGGTTAAAGTGTATCCCAGTGTGTTTTTCCATAACCTTTGAGAATACTGATGTGAAAATACAGTCATTCATATTCAAGATCAACTAAGGTTTACACTTTATTTTGCCTCTAGAATAAATGTGCAATACCACTTTATCAATTTTGTAAGGTATATATTCTTAGACTCAGAGGAAAGTGGTAAATTTTACATGACAAGCTGGAGAATCTCCAAATGTTTATTAACTACTAGAAATGGTAGGTAGGTTGAATAACAGGGGGGGATAAAAGAATGACCACAATAAATAACAGTAACATTTTCTCTGAACTTTTATGTAAGATTCTGCAAGGCTATATGTAGATACTCTACAATTTTGAAGTAATTTACAGAAGCATTGATTAGCTGGAATGGACTTTAGAAATACTCTTTATACTATTTGTTAAGGAAGAAACTAAGACTCTTAAAATCAGTCAACCTTCCTGTGGTTGCATAGTAGTAACAAGACCAGGACTAGAAAATAGTCACCTCCCTTCCCGATCCACACATACCAGTGTTTATTTCACCTTTACTGTTGAATTTCTACATGCTTTTTAATAGTTGCTTCAAATAAATGGATAATAGGTGGCCAGTTAAATTCTCTATAAAGTTTCCTAAACCCCTTCCAAATTTCAAACCATTTAACTTTTGCCCTTATTTTTACAACAGCTTTTTGCCAGAAATCTTTCTGAGATTCATGTTTTCCCCCCTTAAACTTATTCTTCTATTTCTCCAGGAGATTTCTGTATCAGCCTGTTCTTATTATGTGACATGTTTTTGACCAAATTTTAAAATAGCGTTATTTGGTTATGTAGTGACCAATGGAAATTTGAAGGATTTCTGCCACAAATAAGTAGAATAGTGTGATTACTTACCAGCAAGCAGGCAGAGTGGGTGGATGGATGCATGGTTTGGAAGGGAGGGAGAGGTAGGAATTTACATAGAAAAAAAAAAACCCCACCAAAAGTGATACTTTTTTTTTCTGTGACATTATTAAAGTCACACTAACTACTTATGTTATCTTTGGGAAGTACAGATGAATCAATTCAGATTTTTTTAAATGAGCTCAATATAAAATAATGTGTTCTTTTTTCCTATACTCCTTTATATTACCAACAACAATAACCCAGCCTAGCCTAGTAAGTGTTGAGGATGTTAGCTGTAAAAATAAAATGAGTTTATTCCATTTGAGATTGATCACTGATCAATTTTTTTGTTTTTTTAACCTGCTGGTAAATAGCACTTAGAATCCCCACATGAAGAGCGAGTATCTAATGCCTTACATTCTGTGGAGGTGGAGTTGCAGAAATTAACAGAGATTCCTTGGCTTTATTATATCTTACACCCAAACGAAGATGAGGTATGTAAAATTTGGTTTGTTTATAAGTGTAAGCTTTCTGACAATAGAATTTGAAACCATCTTTTGAAAAAGAGATATTCCAGGGAAAATGAATTTTGAATGCTACTTTCAATGTGCTGCTCCTGAGCAAGCGAGAAAAAGGCTTTTATCTTCTGGGAATCAGTACATCTTCAGTACATGTAACATCGTGCACTTTTATTTTAAGAAGTCATCAGTTCAGCAGTGTTTTGCATTTATTCCTGCATTGTCTGCAATATCAGAATGAGTTTTTCTTCATTTCGTGTCCTGAGAACATTCTCTTCTTGCTCGACCCGAACAGGAGCCCCCCATGGATTGCACCAAGAGAAACAGCAGAAGCACAGTATTTCGTATAGTTCCGAAATTTAAAAAGGAAAAGGTTCAGAAACAGAAGACAAGTCCACAGCCTGGTAGGTGATCTGCACTCGAAGGGAAAGTATAACATTATGGAAAAAAATAACTTACTAAAGCAGTGTCACCAAGGTGAGGAAAATGTTCTGGAGCTACTGGGGCGCCTGGGTGGCTCAGTCGGTTAAGCATCCAACTTCGGATCAGGTCATGATCTCACAGTTTGTGAGCTTAAGCCCCATGTTGGGCTCTGTACTGACAGCTCAGAGCCTGGAGCTGCTTCAGATTCTGTGTTTCCCTCTCCCTCTGCCCTCCCCTGCTCACACTCTGTCTCTCTCTCTCTCAAAAATAAAATAAACATTAAAAATAAATTAAAAAAAAAAAAGAAAATGTTCTAGAACTATCAGTGGTGACCATTGCACAGTACAAATGTACTAAATGCCACTGAACTGTATACCATAAACTGGCTAAAATGGAGAGTTTTATTTTATGCTCATTTTACCATAATAAAGTAAGTCATATCATACCCACGAGAAGTCCAAAAACCAGTAAGAGGCTGTAGTTATGATGCACACAAGAAAACGGGGTGGTCGCTCTGTTCAGCGGACATCAGTGCATCTGTTTAGATGGTCCTTTGTCCTGCTTAACAGTTCAAGGCATCAGTGGATAGCTTGTTTTTCTTCTTCAAAGTTCAAAACGAGATTTTGATAAATGAAATATAGAAACCTTCATTTACTCCTTTAACTTGCTAAATATATCTTCCACCCAAAGTTATGTGTTCTCTTTCTCCTGTTTCAAAGACGTACTCCACCACTTCATCCCCTCAGTAAAGACAATCTACCGTGACACTTGCATTCTCAAGATTAAACTCTGTCTTCGATGTTTGTCTTGTTCCCTTTCCACCTTCCCCTAGAAATTACTGTTAATGCTGTTCTAGTGCTAAAACCCTTTCACATTCTGCATATGTGACAGTAGGTGCCTTTCATAGTCAAGTCATTTTACAATCCTTTTGAGTTTAGCTAACACTTTTTAAGAAGTGACACATGACCTTACTTTTGACAGCCGTAGAGCGGCTATTGAAGGGCATTTTAAAACCACATCGGGCAAATAAATAAATTTTAATTCAGCTAAGCAATGTTGAATAAGAAATATAAAACCACAATTATCTATATTGAAAAATAACAATCCGACTGATCTTAGCAGTATTGACAGCTTTTAGAGGACATTAAAATGATCTAATGCATTTGGTGCTATAATTATCAATAATTACAATTCCAAATAGTAATAGAATCGATAAAGATGATACTTGAAGACAGCAAGACCCAAAACAGATGTCTGTGTAAAACTCAGTACACCGTGTCAGATTTTATATTTTAATTAGCATTTGTAGCTCATTAAATGACAACTAATATCATCTATCGTCTTTAGGACATCATCAGAGCTTATTTCGATCTTGTACTGTTGCACCTAATCATGAGAAATACATTTTTTTTTCCTATTGTGTAGTTTGGGTGCCCAGCAGTGATGTCTTTGCCTAGTCAGACCTTTGTGTTGATTGATGGTCTGTAACCTGCATGGGGAAAAACAAAATTGGAGTTTTGTTGAAACAACACCTTTAACCTTTCCCTTTGCTAGCACTGCCCGCTGTCTTCTGTTTTGCATCTTCTTTGGCCAACCTTTGCTTTGTACTGCATTGAGCATGTAGAAATTAAGGGGGTTTTGCTCTTAACTTTGGTAGTTCAAAAATGGGGCACAGAGGAAGTTGCTGCTTGGCTGGATCTGCTCAGTTTGGGAGAGTACAAAGAAATCTTCATCCGTCATGACATCAGAGGGGCTGAACTTTTGCATCTGGAAAGGCGAGATCTTAAGGTATTTCCTTTGTGCTTCTCTTCTGCTTTTGAAAATTTCCTGGCAAAACAGAACCCTTTATCCTGCATCTCTTTTGTTATGTGCTTCCAGCTTGGCTTCTGTTATGCAAACGTGCAGTAATCTAATATGCATTGTCCTGTGGTTGGAGTTCCTTGTATGCTTTTTAATCAAGAATGTCAGCAATATGTTCCTATCAAGAATCATTCCCTGATTATTGTAGCTAAAGCTTAGCATGAAGTTAGTAATTTTTCTCTGCATCCATCCATATGGCTGTTCCTGTGCTAATATTTCCAAACGGTTCATGTTTCCATCGGCTCATTTTATTGCGTTAGCGTGAAAGGTGGTAATTGTTGCTGAAGACCACTTAAAATCTAATCAAAGATTAACAACTACAACTTAATTCAAAGTACCAGTAACAAAGTCTTCCTAATATATGCAGCTAAATAAGAGCCTTAACAGCAGTGGCGACCTAGAGTCCTGTGATTTCGTTGTGTTTCTGACTGCCCTTTCAGAAGTTAGTGAACAACTAGACCAATAAATTCAAATACCCTTTCCATGACTTACTGTTAAAATTGTATTATTCTCAAAAATAAATATATTATTTTCTTTAGTAAATCAAGTAAAAACTGTGCTTCGCTCTTGGTGGAATGCAGCTTAGAGCCTCTTTGCTATTTATGACAGAGAAGGAAAATCATTAATTAGTGGTATGCAGCAATTTTCCTGTATTTTGGGGGTGGAGATTGCCAATGGCCAAACCATTGAGAGTATTCTCTCTCAAGGTTACGAGTAGAATTTTGTCACGTTCTATTTTCTTACCAAATGCTGCCATTTTAAAATTCCAAGATTGAGTAATAAGAAAGTGACAGAGCCTTTGATATATTATGGAGTGATCCTTTTCTTGTAGGCCAGGTTCTGATTCACATGGAATTATGGTACAGTAAATTTCTAACAAATTTGTAAACTATTGTACCTTTATAAATATGTTAGCAGAGATCTTTGAACAATGCATGGGTAATCTATAGGATTTTATAAAACAGAGTCATACAGTTTCAGCACATTAAAAGCAGACACCATTTATATGTAAATGTTTTTAACCAGAATAATAGTAAAGAGATAGATTAATTAATTACTGCAGTTGAGAGTCCCAAATCTGGAAAATAGCAAATACTGCTAAAGCTCATAGAGTAAAGGTTGGCTTCAGAATTTGGAATGAGTGCACACAAAATTAAGTTTAAGGCATCATTGTATCCAAGGATAGTTTCTTATATCCTTGGCAGGCAGCAATATTTGTTGACTAGCTACTGATTGATATATTATGCTAGTCTCTCTTTGCATTTCATTTGCAATGAATAAGCATATATTCAAGGAAAAGAGTGTATGTGTATGTATATATAAATATATCTGTATATGTTATATGTATGTATATGCACCTATAAATAGACACACACATACACAATGAGTAAAGCAAATATTTGCAAAATGAAAAAACAAACTCATAGACATGCAGAGTCAAAGTTAGAGTGATAGGCCTTGGATGGAAAAAAGAGTATGAGTAAAAAGCAAATGGTTAAGAATCCTTTTAGTAAACTTTCTCTTTAGCTTTTCAGGGGACTTTTTGTTCTACTTTGTTTTTATTATTTTTGTCTTAATTGTATTTTTTTAAATGTTTATTCATTTTTGAGAGACAGAGACAGAGCATGAGTGGGGGATGGGCAGGGAGAGAGGGAGACACAGAATCTGAAGCAGGCTCCAGGCTCTGAGCTGTCAGCACAGAACCTGTTGCAGGGCTTGAACTCACAAACCATGAGATCATGACCTGAGCTGAAGTCAGACGCTTAACCAACTAGGCCACCCAGGAGGCCCTACTTTGTTTTTATTTTTAATACAAACTATATTCTTTCCCTTAAAACTTGTCTTTTGGAAATCTGTATTGACACAGTCCTTTTTAAATCTTTTGGTTCTAAAACAGGGTATGAGGGAATAAGGAAAGGAGAATAATGTTACAGAAAGAGCCCGCTGTAGGGCAAAGCCGTGAAGGTAGAAAATGAGGTCCCTTTGCTCTCTGGGTGTAGCTGTAAGAGGGAGCAGACTCCTTAGAATAAAGTCTACAGATGTTAGTAAAGGATCACCCACTCCCTGGGTAATCTTAACCATTCCCCTTGCTTCAGATATGGTTCATGAATATGGTAGTGGCTCACAGGTTTGGATTTACATCCCTGACCTCATTTGAGACCTCTAGGATTATATCACCCACTCTACTTGAAACTTGCCTATCACACAGGGATGTCAGTCTTCACAGGACAAAAACCAAACCTGGTTCCTCTGTCCCGCCCCATCCCTGCTCCTTCTCCAATGTTCTACAGCTTAGTTAACCATCCCTCTCTCTCTCCAGGTGTTTAAGCCAGAGAAACCCACAGTCCTACTCAACACCTTCCTCCTCATTCTCCTTTTCCCCTAACTCATTAAGGCTGTCACCAAGTCAAGTTTCCAATCTCTATCCATTTCTCTTTCTGCTTTCCTCAGTCTCGCTTCATGGTACCACCGTGCTCACCTGTGTAAGGTCCATAGTTTCTAACTGGCCTTTCCGCTGCTACCCTTGCTCTCGCTGGTCCGTTATCCACACTGCAACCAGAGTGATATCTTAACATCAGATGTATCACCTTTCAGGGACTTCCCATTTCTTTTTTTTTTTTTTTTAATTTTTTTTAATGTTTATTTCTAGGAGAGAGAGAGAGAGAGACAGCGTGAGCAGGGGAGGGTCAGAGAGAGAGGGAATCACAGACTCCGAAACAGGCTCCAGGCTCTGAGCTGGCAGTCAGCACAGAGCCCGACGCAGGGCTCGAACCCACGAACCGCGAGATCATGACCTGGGCAAAAGTCGGACGCTTAACCGACTAAGCCACCCAGGCGCCCGGGGACTTCCCATTTCTATTAGAATAAACATTCATATCATTGTGAGACCTGCAAGATTCTGCCTATTTATTTAACCTGCTGTGGAATCACTGGTCCCTTGCTGGACTATACTCCATCCTCCCTGGCCATATTCCATTTGCTTAAAAATACTAAACTCTTCCACACCTTTAGGGGTATACCTGCTACTCCCAAACACCTGCTTCTCCCACTACCCCTACCCTGCCTAACTCCTGCTCAGATCTTGGCTCAAGAGTTACCTTCTTATTAGCAAGACAACTAG